TAGTAGTCTGCAAGGATATTGTCTGGCACTAATCATCAATGATGGACTTGGATAGTGCCCATGATAAGAAGAAGGCTAGAAGATGCAAGATAACATTTTAGGAAATAGGAAAAATGAGAAATCCATTTAAAGAAAGGACATGACAAGAAAATTATGGCTTCTTAACAAACACAAAACTCAATTTAGTAGTCTGCAAGGATATTGTCTGGCACTAATCATACTTTCACCAAAGCAAGATGCTCATGAGTTGAATATGATATCATTTGTGAATCTAACAAATAACTAGGACCTGGGTTCTAATCAATTAATACTCAATGTGATTATAGGTCTCTTTTCAGCAAGCTATGGGTGTATGAATGCACAAAAATAATTTGCGGCGAAATAAGTTTCCTATTGCATAATGGGACCTTCGTTTGATTGCAAGAGCTGCAGAATAGCTCTCCCAACGGAGGTATGTTAGCAAGCATCATTGAGCACCAATTAGCTAAAAGAAGATGAGTTTTGGAGTTCCTAGGAATATAGACCTGCCCGAAGTCCGCCAGCTTGAGAATCCCATCGGCCGAGATGAGCAAATTTGAGGGCTTGAGATCCCGATGCACCACGGAGCTGCGGTGGCAGGTCTCCAACCCGCGCAGGATCTGGATCATCCACTGCTTCACCTCGCCGACAGCGAAGGCCCCGGCCCTCTTCGCGTCGCGGATGACGGCGGCGAGGTCGGCGGGGAGAAACTCCAGCACGAGCACCGCGTCCTCGTCCTCATCCTCGCCCCAGAAGTACTCGAGGAGATCGACCACGTTGGGCGCGCCGCGGAGGGCCAGGAGGGCCTCGATCTCGCGGGCGGAGCTCTGGTAGTCGTGGATCTCCTTGAGAGCGACGTCGAGACCGTCAGAGCGCCGGCGGCCACGGTAGACGTCCGCGTAGGCGCCGGAGCCGATCCGACCGAGGATGTCGTACCGGCCGGTGATCTCGGCGCGACCGTAGATGCTCCAGCTCCGGGAGGAGACCGCCGTCGTCGTCTTCGGCGGCGGGGACGAACCCATGGCGGAGACCGCAAGGCTAAGGTCCGGAGACGAGCAACTGGGGAGGGAGGAGTAAGAAAGAGAGACAAAAATCCCTTCTTGGAAGCTTTGTGTATGGCCTCAAACGTTAACTTCTATTCATCTCCCTTTCGCTCCACGAAGCGAGCTCATGTCCTCGTCACTATTAGTATCGAGTCTATATATTAACCTAAACAATCAGACCTCTCCACATAATAACAATCTGATGTTACTGAGGATTTGAATCACACTCGAAAATGAGAGATAATTTTGTTCATAATAGTTGCATTCCTAAATATAATTTGATGTGTAACTGTGGAGGATAATAATGTTGATTTGAAGGCATGATTACAAATGTGAAATTTATTATGAATTTAATTATATATATAATTTTGTTGGAGTGTCCAAATATATTTTGAAGCATACATAGGATTAAGGGTACCATTCGAGTGGCTATTTTAACATAATATATTCTCCTTTTCACCTTGTTTCTATTAAGATGTACTAATATCTGAATTCTTATTTCCTTAATAAAAATGTAATGGTGGCTTCTAGTCACAACAATCACAAGGAGTCATTGTTGCAGAGGATTTATCTGCACACAGGAGAGTAAACTTTCTCCATAGTATGAAACAATTCTCATCTTATGATCACTAACATACTACATATTTTGCCAGAGCAATGCATGCAATATTAACCTTGCAAGAGAAATGGATAGAAATCCAAAAACATTTATAGTAATAATCAAACAAGAAGTTATCAGAAGAAGAAATGCTCAAGCTAATATCAACCTGTGACATACAGTTTGATAAGTATGATTGGTGCTCTTTCACTTGTCAGATAAGAGGAGGTGGTTTCAACTGTATCATTTTTATTTCTGAAATGAGAATTATGATTAGAACTCCCATCTCTCTCGCTGCCTTCGGTATGCCTCCGAAGATTGAAGCACACCTTTAACCAATATAATAAACATTTTTGCATGAAATGGAAGCATGACAAATATTAGTAGATAAAGCATATCATTTACTTGATTCAAGTTCTCAGTTGCCAAAAACAAGAGCATTATTCAACCAAAGCTGCATCAAAGGTAACTCCAACTTCAAATATTCATATCATCAAGACAGCACACCTAACACTGGTCGGCTGACAACCAGTGGACATAACAGCAAAATGCCACGAAACTAAACATTCCTAGAGTGCCTTAAGGATCTCTTCTGCGCCAGATATGGTGAACGCTCCACCTTCTTCGATGTTTGCAACTTTAACCACAAGGTCATCAGTAAGGAGAGCAAACCTCCGTGATCGAGTCCCCAGTCCTTTCTCTGAGAGATCCAGTTCCAAGCCAAGAGCATGAGTGTAGGTACCAGAGCCATCAGCTAGGAATTTCACATTTTTGTTTTCAGGATATGTCTTTGCCCATGCCTTCATCACAAACGGGTCGTTAACTGCATGAGATTTGCATAGCAACAAAGATGAGTCCCATGGTCTTAGTAAAGTAGACCAATGGAAAGGTTTCATTTAAACAATTAATTCAATTCATTCCAACCAAATAGGTTTGTGTGAATGGTTGAATCCAAGCATAGTTTGAAGCATTCAGTGTTCGTCGTGTGCAGACTGTTAATGCTAAAGAGGTCATGTTTAAAAGGACATTTTTAGCCTTTCTTTTTCAGAAGCTTAACTGTTCAACAAAATGAATGGTATTTGATATCAAAATATTGGCAAAATACATTGTTTTTGGAAGTTTAAAACTTCATGTATCATCAAGCTAAGAAAAAAACATGTATTCTTTCAACCACGTCCTATTAAAAAGGAAAAAGAAAATCTTAGTTTCAGTGTGTTTCATGAAGCAAGTAATCTATCATGAAAGCATACATGCAGAAGATCATAAAAGGTCACATAAGAATGAATAGGAAATTAGATCAATTATAATTGCTCAAGTATCAGTATTGAGCTCCCAACCTTTTATACGATTCAGATCCATAACCCAAGATAATGGTTGCCTGATTAATGAATATGCAATCACCTACCAAAACAAAGCATCATATATTACTTAATAGTTTGGGAATTGGGATCTTCCCAACTCTTTCAACATTACAGTCTTGAACTTACATCTCCTTCTGACCCTATTAACTGCCGAACTTTTAGCATCTTGCTTGGTGTCTACAAGTAGGAAAGGAGATGAATGTTTACATGTTATCCCAATCTCATTTTTAAATTAGAAAGGCCACTAGGTTGGTCTAATAGTTATTCTGCCTTTTAAATTAAAGCATCATAATCATCTGTCATGTAAGTCTCTTGTCAACATGAAACATGTAATGCAAACAGATCTGTTTCACGAGGAGAAGATAAAATGAAAGTCAATAATCACCACTGATGAGGAGGATCTCATCAACGCCCTTGGATTTCAGCTCCTCAGCGTTTTCAATGAAGCCCGGCACATGCTTCATGCTGCAAGAAAAGAAAAAAAGAATGGTAAACATAAATCTAATCAGAAAAAGGTATAATAATCCAAAAGCGCTTCAAGATCGACACCACAGAGGGGTTGCTTTGGTAGAATGACCACTGTCTTGCATGTATTAAGTAAGAACAATAAACCCTAAATAAAGGTTGTTTTTGTTGGCATGGCAAATCTCGAGAAATTAGTATCAAAATAAACATAAGATATTAATAAACACTTGTTTCGACATGGTCTCGATCTGCTTGTTCAAACAAAATAATCCATCACCAGAAGAAAATACAGAAAAATAAAGAAAAAACAGAAGCTTTAAAATTTAAATAGTCTAAAAGACCCTTTTCTAAGAGAAAGAGAGAGATCGGAGCTTCTTTCTACTGGGTGGATTTGAGGAGAGAGAGATCGCCTGCAGGTAGGAGTGAAGGCACCGGGGACGCCGAAGAGGATGACCTTCTTGCCGGCGGCGAGGGCGTGGACAGACACCTGCTGAAGTTGGTCGTTCTCGTCGAAGCACGCCAACGTCCCTTCGGGGAGCGCATCGCCCACCGCGATCGGAGCCATTTCGTTCTTGTCGTCTCCTCCTTCCGCCGCCTCCTAAGAGAAGTTCTGATGTGGTGTCCTGTCTGAGCCCTCTTTGGGTCTTACGGCCATGGCTCCTAATTAAGTGGAGGAGATAACGCCCCATTCAGTGTTCGATGAGGTTTTCTTGTGGATCTCTACAGACAGGGAACAGCTTGTTTCTCGCTACCGCGACCAGGTCAATCCCCGGGGATGTCATATTGACAGATCATTCCACGATGCTTTCCCAATCGTTATGCTGGTCCCTGACCGGCTGAGACAGGCAATCTAAGTTCTCCTTCGATTGCGGTGTACAGGGCCCTCTCCCGGACGGGTTTTTTAAGGACAAACTTGCAATTACATCCATCGGAAAATAGTTTTGTTAATATTTGCCAATCTCAATTATATTAAGTCACCAGATTAATATATAATTAACACGAATACTCTTAAAAATACCTTTTGATTTTTTTGTAACTTTTTTATGCAAAACAGCGACAGTCTATCAATCAACCCGATTTTTTTATGTATGTTAATGAGATATGTATGATGGAATTATTAATAAAAACACAATATTTCAATTAAATAAGAAATCTCTTCTACTTTTTGCACTCAATTATTAAAAAAAAAAACCTCAAGGAAAATAATTTAACACAGAAAAAGCCTTGAGGGAGGAAAAAGAAAACAGAATTAAAGGAAAAGGTCCTATTTTTCTGCTACATTTGTGGTGTAGTCCCAACTGTTCTCGAGTGCGATGGAGGCTGTTCAAGATTCTTCTCCCATACCTTTAATTTGACCTCAGACTACACTTGTTGCTTCAAGCAATAATTTCCTTTTGTTTTTGTCGGCCATTCTTGTCCTGCATCCTACCACCTGAAGTGAGCAATTCTTCTTAGATTTAATGCTTTCATCTTGTCCAAGCTTTCTCAATACTGGAGAAGTTTAAGATACTGCTTCTACCGCATGGGGCTATAATACAACTTTGTACATGTTTTGTCTTTGCGGAGGGTTTCAGTGTATGTAGATGATTGCTTATCAAAAAATCGCTCGAAATATTTGAGCCACCTCTGATTTATTTCCAGGAATAAGGTTATCCATCTTCAAGTTAATCCCCAGGCCTGAACACAAGTAACTAATTAAGTTACGCGTTGAGAACAAATGGAAAGCTTATTGTACAGAATATGTTTCACCAAGAAATAAGATGTGGAAGAACTGCAGGGAAAATAATGATATCATCAGTTGTCTGCACACAGATGGACATGCATTAGACCCATAATTACATGCTAATCTACATGTCTTTTCTCGTCTTATTTTTCTCCGTCATATACTTGGCCATATCATTCACCTCAGTGAAACAGAGAAAGTTCTAACAAAATGGCACCAACACAGGAAACTAGGAAGCTTATACACAAATTACAGATCAAGATGAGATGGCTGGATTAGTATTTAGGTGTTAGGAAAAGTTGCCCTTATCAGATAGGATCTCATGAATCAGGAAAAGCTTATTGTGATAATACAAGGAGAACGTAATATGATTCAGCTAGTGTGGTATGATACAAAGAAACCAATTTGAACTAAGATTTGGTTATCAATAAACTTAAAATCTTAGAGAATGTTTGTTAGTTACCTGAAGTCTGCCATCAGATGTTCCTAGAACCAAAATTTCTCCATCAGCGTCAACATCCATGCACTGAACCTTACAATTGGTTCCTATCTGAAGAGATCCAATGGCAGTCAGCTTATCCTTGGACCAAATCTCTAGTATTCCAGTTTTCGAACCCAAATATATCAATTCTCTGCTCATAGCCATAGATCGCACCTCTATTGAGGACTGTATAGATCCAACAAGGCTGTAATTTGAAGTACTCCATACCTGTAGCAGCAATAAGGTTTTAGGTAAACAGAGAAAAATCTCAAGTCAATATGAAAAACACCGAGGAAGAAAGAATCGACAAAAATTTCAGTTTCTTTTATAGGCAAACCATAACACGGGAAATATCATAAATGCATTAGGATGAAAGCAGCTCCTATTAAGTTTTATCAGGTTCTGAATAAAACAATAGTTCTAAATCATTCTTGCTCAACTCCTTTATTTGATTCAACACTTCAAAAACCTGTCAGTTTCGGTTGGTATTGGGTGATACGAGTTGGTGTATCACCGAAATTTTAATAACAAATCGAGACTTAAAACCTTGATTTAATTGAAACAGACATCTTATTAGGTAAGATCTTCAGACCAAGGGTTGGTAGGACAAGCAGAATTAAAGGAGATGTGACCAATAACTAAGCTCTTTCCCACACCTTAACTGATGCTCCATCAAGAAATGTGCCAGCTGAATAAAGTAACCCGTCACGTACTTGCACCGCATAGATAGGATTGTCTTTTCCCAACAACTTTTTCTTACCTGATTGAACAGTAGCTGATGTTTCAGTAGCCAAATCAATTTCCTGCAAGTTAAGGTTATGGTCAGTAGATGATACATAAAAAAGTCTCAAAACCAAGATTGTGACTGGATAAGAACATTGCTATAGTTGGCTTTGGAAATAATAAGGCAGTTTATTTTGAACAGTTGAGAAAAAAATGTCATAAACATAATCAATTAGAAGTTCCTCTAGTGATTGTTAAGATTTGATTTTCATTTATGTTATACATTTTCTCAATGTTAACCTTATTTCAGTTGAAGTGAAAGCAAAGAAACTGTGCCATTAAAAGAGGTATTATGATAAATGAGAACCATGTGCATCATACAATGGACGCACAGACATCTATTTCTCTCGAAAACTAAAGGGGTGAAAACCCCAGATACAAATAAACATGCCAAGTACTTGGAGAGCACCTTCCAAGATTTGAAAGAGCTAGGTGAATAAACATGCATATGTTTGTTTTCCTATATACAACAAATGTAAGAATTTCTTTTTTCTTGAGTGAATATTATTTAAAATATCAAGAAAGAGTTAACCATGATAGTGGAGCAAGTCAAACATGTTGGCTGGATAGATTGGTAATTAGAAAGAAAAAGAAAAAGAAAAGGAGAAGGCATACCTGAATACTGTTATCATTGCACCCAAAATAAAGTTTCCCCTGTACAAGAGCCAAAGACCTCACATTCTTATTAGGGCTAAGAATTTTTGAGGCTCCTTTCCAAGATAATACCTATTTCATGAAAAATATGTTTGTGTTAAAGATTTTATTTGATGCATAGTAGACCTTTTTCAGTTATCTAAACCTTTGGATAAGACAAATGTGACTATAAGAACAATGAATGACATTGATCATGACAGATTTTAGGGTGTCACCATATTTAAATAGTGTTGCAAAACAAAATTGACAAGCTAAATGCAAGAAGCTCAGACATATTAATGAAAATGGGAAGAGACAAAAGTCATACGTAGTACCTTGACACCAGCTCCTTGTGGAGTGAAACAAACAATGGTATCTGCAACACTAAGATTACGCACAGGATCCTTCACATCAAAAGTTTCTGTACAATGTATCCATCCATCATGAACAGCCCAAACCTGCTCAAAATAGAGAGTTATTAAGAATGATGCAACGGTTCCTATGTGCATGAAAGAACAAATGCATACCCTTACGGTTTTGTCTAGTGACCCACTGTATAGTTTCTCTCCAGACTGTGAAATGGCCAAGCTGGTGACTGCCTTCAAGTGCTCATTTGTTTCATGCACCAGATGAAGAATACTCTCATCACCTTTCCAGACCTATATGACATTAACTATTAAATGTGGAACAATCATATATTATTGTGTGATCGACCATTGATGAATTTATTTTCTTGGCTTGTATATAATTCATAGAAGACATATGTCAAGCCACATGTACTTCTAGATGCTTGCAGTACTATGTCTCGACTTTATTTATAAGCTAAAATTCCCTGGCTTGGTTTCCATTTGAATTCATAGGAGACCCATGTCAAGCTGTATCTAGTTTGACATGCTGCACCTTCACTGTCATATTCCTCAATTTAACTATCACTCCTAGATAGCATAATAAATAAAGCAAAAGAATGTAACATAATACTGCTTGTAGGTTTTATTCTCATTTTACATGGGGATCTAAAATCAGAATTATGAAAGCTCATGTTGGACAAAGACTTGGCCTATATGAGAACATAGAGAAAACTAGAGTGAAGATCAGGCCAAGAAAATCACAAAGATTCCCTTGGATTTTATGATGATTCCTAATATTTTGTTTCAGGTTGCTCACATAAATGGGAATTGGGGGGGGTGGTGGGGGGGAAAGAAGAAACCTTTATTGTTCCATCGAGGTGCCCAGAGATTATCCTATTCTTGAAGCGTACTATTGAGAGAACTTCTCCATTTGTGCTGCAATCTACTTGCATCAACTCCTTATAGATCCACATATCCTTCTGCCAGAAATTTTAATGATTCAGTCAGTTTACAATAAGGTATTGTTTTAAAAGAATGAACAAATAGGTTCTCACAATACTCGAGTCTTGGCCATCTGATAGAAGTTTTAGCATTTCGTATGCTAAACCAGAGGATTTCTTAAGCTCTCTTAAGGTTTTCAATATGTCCTTAATGTGAAGAGTGAGATTGAGCAACCCTTCTGAAAATGCAATAACAACTTTGTTCAGCATTACAAATGATCCAACATATGATAGAAAATAGCACCCAACTGAACACCACATTCTTATGTCAGCATGTCGTAAAAGCATAAAAGCAAAACTAAATCCAAGTGAACCATGCATTAAGTTGAAAAAAGAACAAGATTGCATTATGGAAAGTTTGGCATTATTTTCATGAATCAGAAGATCAGAAAGCAATAAAATGCTAGAGATTCAGTCATTGCTTGCATCCTGAGGACAAAATATAGCAGTCTATTATCTGCAGAAAAATAACAGACAGCTGTGGCTAACCTTCATCATGCATAAAGCTTCTCAAAGCAAGCATGGAAAGTGCTTTATCATCAGTATGCCTGGCAGACTTTAGAATTAAGATATATTGTTTCAGCAAGCAGACCCTTGCAGCTCCTCTGACCCCCGTATCAGGAAGAATAGAGAGCATATGACTGAGCCAGGTTGCAGAGATGAGACAAGCTGAGGACAGCTCAAGATTTCTGCTCTTCAAACCATCAGACAGAGCTTCAAATACAAGCCCAAACTCATGACTGACTAGAGCAAAGGCGATTTTCCTTTCCCATTCTTCAGCAGCCTTTTCTTCTTCCTACATGGCCCATGGAAAATCAGAGACAACAAATTGATAAATTAGGCAGAAATAAAACAGGAGCAGTAGAACGAATCACTGTAGCGTACAACCAAAATATTAAGCAGAAACATATCTAAGTGTGCATCAGTAGATTTTAGAGCAGAGCGTATCCACATGAAGGGTCTTCAATTTCATATAAAGTCCTCTGGAGCTATGACCACTCTCTGTAGCATTTCTGAGTTCATAGAAAGAGTCTAGGACTCGATAGAGGAATGGAATGCATATATCAGATTACCTCCATATTGCCTTGTGGGTAAACAGCACAACACTATAGGCCTTATATGTAGTGTTTCCTCTTGATTAGGATGTCAGAAAGTAGCAAACCAAAAACCAAAAAGCAATAACAACTATTCCTGGGAAGGAAGATAACAATATCTAACCAGATTGAGCTCAGATCTTTCAGAAGCACTGCGAGTCTGCTCAGCTTCTTTTAATGCTCGGTAACCTTTTCTTATTCCAGTATGTTTTAAAAGAAGAGCTCGAGCAAGAGGCCTCCCAGAGGATGAAAATCTTCCCTGGAGAGCCAAGATCGTCTCAGCAGCTTTCAATTGTGTGTCAGGAAAATCTGCATTTCTGAGGCATGAAATGAGTGTGTCAACGGCTTCTTCACGATATATGCTCATCTTTCTTGGTTCCACCTGGTGGACCGAAAAACCTAGTTACTAACAAAAATTTACAGCATTAATCACAATGGTATTAAGCATGATGGTTGACATGCTAGTTCATTTACCATCTGTTATATGTTACAGATGGCAAAAGTCAGCATGGAAAACATGATTCTTAGTCATGTCCAATTTAACCATTTATAAGGGGGAAAAACATCAGGGAGGTTACCAAAAGATCAAGCTGGAGAAGAAGACCAGCGATAACAGGAGATTGATCCATCGAAGACGTTTGTAGGTAGACAAGAAGTGAATGCATCATGCTAAAAGCACCTCCTCCCTTAATGACATGCAGAAGCTGCTCATTGGATAACCTCCTGGAGAAAAATCAACAAGATCAGGAACAAATCTATTCACTTCGGTGGTCAAACTGTAGATGTTAAGGAGGTCTGCCCCAACTCTTTGGCAACAGTAATCAGATCTAGGTGGAGGGCACCCTGATATTTCTCATGAAACAAATGTGCTAATTAAGTCATAATTAATATTCAACATTGTAGAGATTGCAAACACGGAGAAATTACATGTTTCTAAAGCAAAAACAGTACAATAACTATTCACCACAGTTTAGTTCCAGCCTAAAGAAGAAATGGGGAAAAACTGAAGAAAGATACCTGTTGAGCTTCACTAACTCGAAAAGGAAGTGAACAATCTCAAAGCGGTCCACGTCATTCACAATGGCAAAGCTTTGCAGAACCGGTTCTAATTGTGCTTTGTCAGCGATTATCTTCCTGCAACGCCCATCCTCTGCAATGCATTTAATCAATATCCCGACTGCTGCAATCCTCTCCTCCACCATGTCAGCTTCCATGCTCAAGATAACTCTCTCGATTATTCCATCCGATATGATAGAGTGAAGAATCATGGACGAATCACTATTACCTTCTCTAAGAATCTGCCATAGGAGAAGAAGTGAAGCAGTCTTCGGATTCACACACATCTCAAGGAGTTCATCGTCATTCTTCTCGATGGCCCTCAAGAGGGCATCTGCCATATCCATTTCAACAAGACTCTCCCACCGAGGACTTAATAGAAATATCAAAACAGCTGCCTCCACCAATCCCTTCTTGAAGAGTGCAGCCATGCACTTCACATCTGAATCAACCCTGGTAAGTGTTTGAACAACAAACTTATCCTTTGTAGCCAGCTCGGCTAGCAGGAATATTGCGGCTCTTAAGACTTGCAGATCGACGGACTTGAACAAGATTTCAATGAAACCATTCACAGTTGCAGGTTTTGCGAGCATTGCTATGATCTCAGATTCTGGGCTGGTGTCTCTCCAGAGCTTCTCAATCTGCAGAACAGCCTTCTCAGACTCATCAAGAAACTCAGATGTGCAGAGGCATGATATCGCGAGACGAAGGTCACTAGCAGAGCCACCAACTGAAGCTTGGTATATGATGCTGGTCAATGAAGGTGAGCTCTGTGACATGTTTAGATCTCTTGCAATCTTCGGAGGGGAATTCTCCAACCTGTTAGGAGTTGAATATGGATTCTCTTCTACCCAACTGCCTATGAGTCTTTTAAGCACATAGTTGGTTTTGGGTAATTGAGAACTCTGGAGCTTTTGGCGTGTGATTGGGCATGTCGAGTTCCCACGGTCGAGCCATTCCTTGATAGCCCTCCGCTCGTAGGTCTGCCCGGTCTCAAGTGTAACAGGATCATCAAACAGGTTGCTTGTTATGGGGCAGACAAATTCCTTAGGAGGAGTTTGCTTATTGTAGGCAACAATGTTGTCAGAATCATCGATTTGAGGACTGGGATAACTAATAAAAGAGAAAGAAAGTATGAGAAAGACGTTTCATGTTCTGAGGGAGGGTTGTAGCAAGCTAATGGAGTGGATATATCATAAAAGGGATGGTAACAGACTTCATGATATATATTATCTGTGAGATATTTTAGGAAAAAGGGTCCAATATTGTCAAAAGAAATTAAACTATGTTGAATTAAATGTTCTGTTTTTGACTCTAAAGGGGAGATGATAATACAAGAGGTGGTTCTCTTACTGTCAGATTTTTAGAGCGTACCTTGAAGATTCTGCAGAGTCTTGTGCATGCCTCTGAAACTGGATTCCATTTGTTTGCAATGATGCTGTGTATGTGTTTCTTTCCTAAAGGACAAGAAACATAAACAAAGTCAAAATGAGGAACATTGGTAGATCAGCCAACTATGACAAACAAGAATGTTGTTATCGTTAGCATCAAAGATCTTGACCTTTATATCAAAATCAATCTCAGAAGAAGAGTAATCCAAATTGTCATCAGAAGAATAATATGGTCCAGAAGTAGAAACCCAGTTATCTTCAGCAGTTCTGTGATCACTTGATGGTAGCCTGATGAGGACATCTGGGGATACCCTTTGAGGATATGACGGTGGAGCTTTTGTGTCGTTCATTTGGACTCTGCTATTTTGCCTTATAAAGAATTCAACTGATTGATCTGCTTCTGCCCAAATTGGCTAACAATTTCAAACATTAAAGTTAGTTCTTTAAATATTAAATGAAATCTATGACCAGAAGAACGAAAAGGCCGGTCACTTATTCATTGTGACTTTAAATCCATGTATAGAAAAGACAACAAACAAAGGACATGGATAAAGCATTCAAATAGAAAGCACACAACCTAGAAGTTCTGACTTAAGCAATGGTAAGATCATGGCAAAGAACGAGACACCAATTCACAAACTAATCCAACAGAGTTATCCAGAAGTACACCAATAACCATATCATCTGACATAAAAGTAATCATATCATTGCTACTAAACATATATTCATCTGGTGGCAATAATAAGTTCTTTATAAACACATAACCATCATAGGAGCTTCTGAATTCCACACAGCCCAAGTAAAACACTAATGTTATTGGGAAATAATTACACTTAGGTCATACTTGTGGGATTGTGTAAACCATGCTAAAGAGAACTCTCACAAGTTGCTTAACAATAGACCTTGAGAATCAGAATTCCTCATTTATAGAATGAGCTTTAAGAAGGTGATAAAGACCACAGTAGACTGAAACAGGAAGATAAAATCGATGTTTCAATAGTGTAATTAACAAAATGATTAGCTTAGAAAGAAAGAAGAAAGATAGATACATTATACCGTCCGTCCCTTAATCCGATCGCTGCCCTTGCTGCCAACTCCTCTTCTACCTCAATCACCTCATCGGGTCTCCTTTCCTCATAGCTAGCTCTCGTCAGAACCAGCTGCGGCGGCGCCAGGACCAGCGGTCCTCCATCGCCCATTTCTACCACCTCCTTCAGATACTCTGCATAAACCTTGCAATTAGCATCAAGAACCTCCTCGTAACCCCTCTCCAGCTCCTTCAACCTCCCCGCTTGGCCGTCGCTCATCCTCGACAGTAGGCTCATGGCGGCCACCGCCTCCACCGACCGCTCGTCATCGCCCTCATCGTTGGCAGCCGGCGGGCATCCGAACCGGAGGGAAGTGGAGGTAAGGATGCGCGACCGCTGGTCCGCGAACCAGTGGAGTACCGGTAGGAGGTGGGGGAGGAAGAGGGCCTCGAAGACCTCGGGCGCGACCTCGTGGCGGGAGAGGGCGGGATCGAGGGAGAAGAGATCGAGGAGGGCGAGAGCGGCGGCCGCGGCCCGGCCGCGGAGGGCGTGGGCGAGGGCGAGGAGGAGGGCGGAAAGAGGGTTTCGGCCAGAGACCGAGAGGAGGATCTTATCGGCCGCGTCCGAGGCGGCGGCGGAGGGGGAGGAGTCGAGGGCGTGGGACAGAAGGGAGAGGGCTCGCAGGGAGGCGGGAGAGGCGGAGGAGACGGTCCGGCGAGCGGAGGAGATGATGCGGTGTCGGAGATCGGGATTCGACAGGGCTTCATCAAGGAAGGCGGTGGTGTGACGGAGGACAACAGCAGTGGACGGGACGGTCATCGTCACTACGGATTTGGTGAGCGGAAGCGTGGGCGGCTGCGAACCGCTTGCTTCAATATTTGTGCAGGAGAGGTCATGCGGCTGATTCTCAAATGCCCCCAATTCCTACGTTAATTACCGACAAAAAGAAAGCACATTGCTAGGCGTAGGGGTATCGAAGTCATTTAACTATATTTAAACCAAAGAGGCAAACGCAAGCGCCGCGGCTGCAGGGGCAGGCAACGGCCGGCTGCACCACGTGGCGTGGAACCATTGGCTAGTTTGGACCGCCAACTTATAGGAGAGTCATCCGGTAGTACGGTTCTGCCACGTAGCATCGTCGATTTTTATCTTCTGCCGTAATATTACTTCTTAGCCCTTTTGAACCGGTCATAGGCCGGCCAAAGACGTTACCCCTTTCCCTTCGCCTTACGTAGCTTGGAAAATGATAGAAGAAGGTAGTTTAAGCCATGATTATTCTGCAAAGACAGAAAAGCTGCGTCCATCCCTGCAATGTTGGTGTGGCAACTCTATGTTCTTCATGTCCCTGATGTTGTCTGAATCAAAGAAAGATGAAACGATTTAGCTTTGTTTGTAATGAATGATACGACGATTTTAGCTTCTTTACTATAGTTTCTTCTTCTTATTTTCACATATGAATTCTCAGAAGATATTAAAGGTGCAAACATCTAAAACAATGCAAAATTCCATCTTCTACTAAATGTGAATCACCCAAGCAACTCACAGGGCAGCTCATTGATTACTTACACAAGAATTAGAGAAGAGTCTTCAATATTGTGACAAGAAAAATCAGCAATAAAGCTCATGAATTAAGCTATAGAGAGAAGATTGGGTTGTGAATGATCGGGAAATCATCCATTTGAGCTTGGAATTAGTAGTCATTTTTGTAAGGCACCTGTATCACATTCCTCTGGAACTAATCCAGCAGTCTTGCACCGAATCGATATCGTTTCATTTCAGATTTGATGAGTTCTTACCAACAACAACCGAGTTCTTGATTCCACAGCTCTGAAGGTTTGTGGCAAAGAACGAACTAAAGCGTGTTTTCACCACCTTCTTGTCCTCATTCTTGATGACAAGTCCATCGACTGGTTAAGCTTCCACTGCTCTAAAAATATAGCAGGCAACAAAGTAAAGAAAACTGGTTCAGAATCAGCTGATAATAAGTTGTGACCGTCCAATATGAATCTGAGAACAAAAGCAGAAATGTTCTAAACTTGATCTCATCCAGACTTGGAAACAAAGAGGATGCTTTCCTTTCAGTTGGTATCAGATGCTGGTGAACCTGAAACAAAGGAGAACGTGAGACATGAGCCTGAAGCATCCATAAATATTGTGGGAATACTGTAGATTTGCATGTGTGCATGCCTCGCTCAGATATCTCTTTAACTAGAACTAAACTAAGCTAAGGAAGAGTGAGACCATACTGGATGTATCTTCGGATGTTGTACTGTGTCCGAGCAATCTGCTGCTGCTCCCGGGATATCCTCTTCACCCGAATCTTGATGCACTGGTCGCATTAGATCAGATCAAACGTGATCAATATTATCTGGGGATAAGGTGGCATAAAACATAATATTCTAGGAGATAAAATTATTACAAATATACCTTTTTGGTAATTACTAATATATTTAAAATACATATCAATCATATTGGATTATTCTCCTAATTAATTCATGTGGCAAGTGTTTGTGAGGATTAGAAATACTAATTTATACATTAACTGAAATATTAAATTGAGATTTTTGAATCGTGGGATGAGGATGATTTGGGTAAGAACATACCCATCAATTTTAGCTTAACAACACCTTGTTAGCTCAACCATTGCGAGAAACAAATAGTTCAGGCTGGCAAACCGACATGACATGGTGCATCAGAATACATCTTCTGTCAACATCACGAGTGCCATCTAATTGCTTTCAGATGCTGGAAGAAACGAGATGGACACAATGAACTATGTAAAACCATGTCATCTTCAGTCTCTCTCTCTCTCTCTCTCTCTGCTTGGATGTTACTTTACCTTTGTTCATGTCAAGAGAGACAACTCTGGTTGCTCATAGAACCATTACGCTTAATTGTACAAGTGCATGAAGATATATTAGGGGACATTCTTACAAACGAAGATAGCAAATCACACATCAAATGTTAACAGGATCTACATAATTGCATAATGAAACATCACAGCTGCAACCATTCTTGCAGTGTCGGTGTAGCCACTCCTATATTTTTCATATCTCTGATGTTATCTGATTCAAGAAAGAATCAACAAAAGAAAAAGAAAAGAAAAGTTATAGCAGGAAGAAAACACATCCTTATATAGCTGATCAAAGGCAGGTGGAACTTTTAAAGAAAAGTATTAGTTGTATGATGCAAGCCGAATGTTTTGGAAGAGTTATTCAAGCGCGTAATGCAGGAATTAGCCAAAATGGTCACCCAATTTAAGTTGGGTTAATTATTTTTAAAAGCTGATTGGATGATAAAACAGAAAATCACAAGAAAGAAATAAAAACTTAACCTTGTTTCTAATTGTCTGATGTTTTTAACTCAGTTATATTCTTGGACCTCTTTTAGCTTCTCAAAGTCTCTGTTCTTTTACTCGTATTCATTCACCATTTCACTGAACGTTCAAGGATCCTAATGGTGCAAATATCAAAACTATTGCAGATTCTCATGTTTGTTAGCAACATAGCTTATATCTATTATTAAGAATGGATTTCAATGGTGTTGCAGTTACATTCAAACATATCTAGTAAAAAAGCTTCAAGACATCAATATGGTACAAGTACCGACAGACAAGAGGCAGACAAAGGAACTCACCATAGTGAATTTGAGGAGTAGCAGCAGCTGTTGCATCTACAATGACAGTTACATGATGGTAATCTAGAGCAACAGCATCAAATACAGTTTGCCTGATACAATTTGGGGTTTGAACTCCTGCGCACAAGAGGACGTTCAATAAGAACTTTATCTTAGGAAAGAAAAAGGTCTAAAAAGTAGAAACGGAGATGCTGTTGCAATATTTCATGTCACTAAGAACTGTTGCACTATCAAACAGTTCAATAAGAACTTTGCAATGTGCATGTGCAATAGTTGTAATATTTCAGGTTCAAGTTATTCTTACCGACAACAACCAAACTCTTGATTCCACAGCTCTGCAGAAGAGAATGAAGATGTGTGGCAAAAAATGCACTAAAGCGTGTCTTCACCAACTTATAGTCTCTGTCTTTGATTACAAGCCCATCAACTAGTTCTGCACCCTTGCAACCCTTTGCTGTTGGCCCTTTACCATCAGAATAGAAGTGCCTGCGGAAAAGCTCAACGTCTCTTCCTAAAGGGTCATGTTCTCGAACAACCTACAACGATTTTATATTTAGCCTTCTTTGCTCAGAAAGATATAACACAACAAAACATGGAAAATCTTTCAAAATCTGCTGATGAGATACGACTGTTGAACTTGAATTGGGAACCACTAACCATTTGGCTCCATTCGACTATTAATATACATAAATGAAATGTTCTAAGCTGTCATTGCTTCAAACTCTACATATTTATGCTTCAAAACATCTCCCATGTACTCACTCAGAAAACCCTGGCCCTTAAATCTTGTTGCATCAATGAAAACACCGACACACTCTACTGCTGAGTTAATGATTCACAATTGGAAACTATGATAGGTGATACGGTATATGTTGGGCCCTAGCCACGTCACCACCGACACCCCATCACACCACCGCCAGGTCAGCAGGAGAAGCTCTCCCACGCGCCGGCCAGGACCTGTACCAAGGCATTCCTCGGTACGTCCCGTCCCCGAAAGCATAGTTAAATGACTTCCGACATCGGCCCGTGGACCAGGCCGTGCTGACTCATCAGCCACGACGCATCAGTTCCTCAACAATAGGCATTATCATAGTTTGATGATAACAATGAATAGATAGACTCAAATCATGCCACAATTTTCATGTATTGTGCTTATCATGAATTTTAACTTTGTCGGAAAGATTGATCAACTTCTACATCATCTAATATTGACCTTAGTTATAACCAAAACATAGACTATATTGTGACACCTCTGCCTGGTAGAGCAAGAAAGGAAGTATTTACATGGTATCAATTATTAGTGCGACTTAAATAACAAACTTGAGACTATTTTCCCTCCGGTCTTTGACTCTACCATAAACTCTATGACACAAATTGTGTGCATCCAAGCTCATACATTTCGTCGACATGGTCTTCCAGTGCAAACAACCTAATTCATGGCAAATATGTAGCAGAAGAGCACGTCTTCCTCTCAGATGATATTTCTCGCATCACTCACTGCAGGGTTTCTTTCTATTTGATCTGCAATTCGTCATCTTTAATGCTTAAAATGGAGAATGAACTTGCAACCTCGACTAATAAGTAAATAATTGAATCTATCGACCATCAAACCATAACGGATCCGAAAAAGCAAAGAACGAAACAATAGACGACGAATAGCACAATAGCAACAACAACGACGGACCCAAATCACCAAAATGCCACGCTCCCGGGCGATTGCTACGGCCTGGATCACGGATGCGACGATAGCTTCGCCGCCGGAAACAATAAACTGGCTCCCCGTCTCCGGCAGCACGAAATCGTTCTGGAAATCGAAGTGAAACGATCATGAGGATCCAAGAAATCGAAGAGGAACCAACCCTCCCGGCAAAAAAGGGTTCCCCGTGCCCCTGCCTGCATATCGATGACGAGCATCGCCGTCTCGCTCCAATTCGGCGCCGCCATCGCCCTCCTCGCTCTCCCCTTCGATCGAGACGACGAGGCTCGACCCCTTCCCGAACCACCGAAGCCAAGAAACGGATAGAAGTGAGCGTAGTAGAGTCATCCCGCAGAGGATAACGAGAGACAAAGGGCGGGCCCCACACCCAGTCGGCCGCGACTCGCTTAACGGATTCGAACCCGATGTTGACACGACCTGATCCAACCCGAACCCAAACCCGTAGGATAAGGATTTGGGGGTAATTTTTTAATTAAAAATGACGTCATAATATTTTATTTATTTGTAAAAATGAATATCTTATACGCCTAATAAATATGCCATATTGTATTATTAACAGTAAACATCCGACCAAGACATTTGGGATTTGTAACTGATTTATAACTATATACACTAAATTATTTTGTTTAAACAAAATTAAGCACCTGATTTGTTTGTGAAAACTTGAATCATTTCGAATAAAGATTACTTTTCGAACAAGAAGAAAAAGTCATTATCTTCTAATCTTATAAACTATATTAGAATATATGTTATTACTAAATAGGATACTAGATCTTTCAATAATTAATTATATTATTCATGTATCCAATAAAAAATAAAAAATTTATTTGCTTCTTGTTCTAATTTATTATTTGTTTCATAATATTTTGCTTGCTACTTAAATATTCAATCTTTTTGTAAATTGGTCTTGGTTTAGGGTAAACACCTGATTTAACAGGGTTATAATTTAAATATGCAATGAGTAACTCCAAAGATTAGGCACTCGAAGAACTAATACATCTGTTTATATTTACCCACAAATTATATTGCTTACTACTATGATTGAAGAAGCCGACAACCATGGTAGATGATGTTTCGGAGAAGGCCAAAATTGAAACCCTAATTAGCATCCAAGAGATTGCTCATCACACTGCAGGAAAGATTTACATCATGGAATTCTAAATCTAATTTCAAGCAGGGTTAAAGAAAGCATGTCTTTCGATCTCTTGGCTGGATAGGAATCCATAACACCGTTAGCAACCAGCCTTCGATCTTGCAGAGTGACTGCTAATGATGTTATGCCCAGGCGAAGAACTTGCGAGCCTCATCAGAATCCCCCACCGAGAGTTGGAGCCCAGAAACCAGCGCCGTCATCACTCCCGACATGCATGGTGAAAGAGACAGGGACCAGGCACAGTCCTCGGCTCCTTAGGTCCTTCTTCGCCTCATCATTTCGTTCCTGTCGTGACGAAAAATGCAAGCAAAGCAATCACTTCTTTGGGATCGATCGATCTAATTCGAAACAGCTCGTATCGGTTGCAGCTTCCGAGCTACGCAAAGTACCTGATCTTGTGGCCCGCTTTTGTTCTTGCCGCTGCCGTTTGAACTCTGCATGTCCCACGAAAGATATAATAGGCAGTAATCAGTGTCGCGAATATTAAAGTGCGGTTTCAAGCTGTAAAGTTGATGCAACTTTGTTCCTCCATTGCCTTTATGTTGTAAAGGAGCTTTAGCTAATGCACTTCTTTACTTCGTAGTACAGCGTTAAGATAGTTTTCAAGGTGGGAAGAGATCCAAGGTGATATACCTGGCCAGGGTCTTCTGAGAATAAACAACTCATGTTCCCCTGTGCCTGAGAACAATACCAATGTGGTTAAGGAACATTAACTACTTGCGAGTTATCATGCCGCACCATTGACTTCTTCTGAGGGGAAAGAAGAATAGATTTTGACCTAAAGCAACATATGAATGAAGAAGAAGAAGAAGGTACACTCTTGGAAAGATGAAGCCGAAGAGACATGGATAATTATCTTTCATTAGTTCGTGGGCAATGCTACGTAGGGAAGGTTTCTTATAGGCCCTACTTTATTAACTATGCAAGCAAAACTAAAGCATTCAAAGTTACATACGAAAGAAGGTTTCTGTGGACAAGACCATAGTTGGAAGCAAGCAATCAATAGCAATGATCCTCTTAATATAAACTTTGTCCAGAATAATCTTCGAAAAGATTTCAGACTTGCGCTGCTACCATGAAGTGCTATTTATGTGAGTGTTGATATCAATGTACATGTGTGTTTGCGCTTGCATGTGTTTGTGTAAGTTTGTCAGACTTCGTGCATGCGTGCCTGGGTGAGAGAGAGAGAGAGAGAGAGGTGGGGAATGGAGTATAATTACTTACAGGCAGCCTCATGTTCCCTGATCCACTGCTCAGGTACGGGGAGCTCAGAGCCTACATGAAAGAAAGGGATGTTTCAGAGATTGAGAAATCTCAAACACATGACTTTACAAGACACCAATAACTAGAAGATACTACATAAAACAAACAGTAATGCCATATGTATGCTGTCACTAGCTTTTCCTGCGTGCTCGCAGCAGCACACCCTCCCTTTCCTTTTAACTTCACCAGGGAGGAGAGAGAGAGAGAGAGAGAGAGAAAGAATTAGACCTCAATCTGACACTGGAGGAATCTGATGTAGCCGATGGCTTCTTGCAATACAGACGCGGTGTCAGTCTGAAAAGGAGTTCATGTCAGAGCTCCCGTATTCGAGCAACAAAGCAAAAGAAGCAAAAACCTATATACAAAAGTACTCGAATCGTTTCCATCGGTAAAAGAAATTGGAACCTTAAAAATTACTGCGTAATCTCCACATAAACTTGAGAAGCTGTATCGGCTTCTGGTGTAATACCTTTCCAAATGGCGAGACTAACTGGTGAAGTGCTGTTATTCTATCCCCTAACTTCTCCTTCCTCACCTGAAACCGAACATTTCATTGCTGACTGAAGCTTTGGACGCTATCATTATCTTCACATGATAGATTGCATGATAGTGAGCTGGATTAAGTAGCAGAGTCAGACCTTGAGTATAGATTTCGGTGAAGAAGAACCTTGAACCCTAACCTTCTTCGAAGCTGGAGCAGTTTCTGTGCTGTTGCACTTACAAAAGAAGCAACAATTTTAGGGAAACATACGGCAGCGTTCCACAAGCATCTTATATTGGAACTGATCTATCGATCACAAAACCTAAGATAGTGAGGTTTCTTTGTTCCAGACTCAACACATGATGGCTATCAGATCATCAGTAAATTATTGTGTTAATATGACCTAGAAACCCAGCGATCAGATGTTTCCCTTACCTCTGATGAATTCTCTGGTCGGCGACCTGAGTTGTTTGAGAAGTCCAACATGTTGGTGCTGAAACTGGTAGTGATACAGGATCTAGGAGATGATGCCGGTAGAATCCGACTCCATGCAGATCCAGAGACCTGGATCTCTTCGCTCCCACGGCTATGCACATTTCCATTTCCAAGGGGCACTCGCTTGACATCAGCGATTTGTGCAGTAGCTGATGGGTACGGTACCTGATCGGGTTGATCTGCACATATCTCCATCTTTTTCGTTTGGAAAGGTGTCGAACCATACTTTTCTTCTTCTCCCACGATCCCTCCCCTGGAAGATTTGCACCAAGCCATCAAAACCAGACAAAAAACAAGAACTTCTTTCACTATTTGTGTGCCACACACTCTGAAGAGTCATGCATAAAAGATCAAAAGCATTCGAAGTTTTTAGAGAGCCTGACTTGAAAATGCATGAATCCAATGAACCATAAAGCGCAGAGAGAGGGAGAGAGAGAGAGAGTTACAATAATAGCTGGTACCATGACTCTGGTAAGTCTTGGCTATGTTGCCAAGGGGTCATCTCAGTACTAGATGGCTGTGCGTACTCAGGAAAGACAGGAGAAGAAGAAGAGGGCAGCAGAGGAAAGGTCAGCTCAGGAGGTGGCTTCATATTTTTCATGCTCCACCAGGTTGGGCCTCCCTCCATCTGCTGCTGCACCAGATAGCTCTGGAACGCTCCTTTATTCATGTCTTACCTCTGAGAGGTCTACTTAATACTCTCAAATCTCTTTATGCCTCCACACCCTTTCTTGATCCTAAGAAGCTTTGCTGCTTCTGCCTCAGTGGATCATAGCTGAGTAAAGAATGAGATGAGAGGCCATGTTTGGAGGAACCTCAATAGATGAGGAAGGGGGGTATGGATGAAGCCTTTTGTTTGGTCTTCCCTACTTCTCTCTCCTCCTTTCTTTAATACCTTTGCTTGCTTTTATTTTCCCAACTTTCATACTTTCTTTTCCTGCTTTTGCTTTGTGATAAAGTAGAGCAAAAAGGCAGTGTCAGTGCATCCAGACCAGGAGTGGGTTTAGACTTTAAGGATGAGTCTGAAGGTATATTTAGGTCCAGCCTTTGGGATATATATACATATATATATACATATATATATATATTTATATATATATGAGCAGTATTCTCCAAATCTTCTTTATCTACCCAACCGATCAAATGGAATTCAGATGAGTTATGAATCCTCCAAGGAAAATCAAAATGTTAAGCATCTGATAAGTTCAAAAAAATACTATATATAATAGCCTTTGTATCGGCTCAAAGTTATCATGTATATAATTTCCTCGAATCCTGATCTCTTAGACCACGAAGAGACACGATGTTACGGTCACGCGAAGCATTCATGATTATGACTTGTACTGTAGAGATAAGAAGAAGCCAAAACCTAGGGTTTGTAGACCTAATCATAGATGATCAACTGATGCTGAATGGAAGTGGCTGTTGCCTACTGCTACATGCTGATCCAATAATTGTAGATGGACATTTGGATGAACAGTGACGGAGTTAGCACATAGCATGGATGAGACCAACGAGTTCATCGATTAATTCCCTTGAAGAAATATTTTATGCATGCGACATTCTCTTGGGTTGCACCAACAACTATAAACAATGGAGCAGGTTTCAGGGGAGAGGAGGAGAACAGCTTGGTTGTGGGACTTTGCACCTCACAAAATCCGTACCCTGCTTGCAATCTTTGTCGGAAGCCTTGTCTCCTCTCTCTCTCTCTCTGAAGCCTCGTTTAGGTTTTGTTATTTACTTACTCTCTCTCTCTTTTTTCAACAATTGCAGCCATGAGCAGCCCTCTCTCTCTCTCTCTCGCTCTCTCTCTCTCTCTCTCTCTTCCGCCTCCTTGAGAAGCGTCCTTTAGGTTTTGTTATCTACTGTCTTTTTTGTTTCAGCAATTGGCATCCATGAGCAGCCGTCTTGCTTGTCTGCATCCGCCACCTCACATTCCTTTCTGTACCGTAGCACACTCACTTTCCTTCACCTTCTTCTGGTGAGTTGTCATGGTCCAGTTTTAGGTTGCAGGAACTATGTATCTTGAGTACAACATCAAAAGCTATAGTGAAAGTATAAAAAAAAAGGTGAAAGGACGAATTTCTAGAAAAAATTTAATTTTATAAATTTTTTTATAAAATGTTTTTTTTAAAAAAAATTCATTAGGCCCTTGTTGATCACCACCCTCTATTCCGCCTCTTTCCCGCACTTGACAGCTCTACCCATCGACCTTTACTCATGCATTGTGTTTGATCGCAACCCTTGACAATCGTCGTCCTCCTTTTTCTTAGCCACCTGCCTCGAACAACACCAACCATCCCCTCTCTTCCCCTAATCGCTTGTGCCTCTATTTGAGGGACGTGATCGACCATGATGCGGGTCAATGAGCTGAGTGACCAAGTGCAAGCGAAGACATAGCTAGGGCTGGGGCTACGATGAAAGTTTTTTGAAGTTACAAAAGCAAGATAATCTTTTTACGTAACCAAAGGCACTCCATGAGAAAAATCTAAAGTTATGAGTTTTTTTTTAATTTACCTAATATATATATATATATATATATACCCTTTCAAAATCAATAATTTTGGAGAAACTTTTTTAAATGCAAGTTTTCATTGTTTTCATAAAGCATTTTCTTTTGTTTTATTCTTGTAGGGCATCCCTTATTTTTTTAAATATGCCCCCTCTTCACTATCTTTATTTCCTCTATGTCCCCGCTAATGGTGAACATGAAGGTTCATCGATATTCCACCCGTAGCTCCTACCTCTACCTTTGACCCATCATTTTTTTATGTTAGAGGAGCCAATCGCCTATCTACAACCTCTATCAACAAGCTCTAGGTGTTTGATGCCCTATCTCTCTCGATGAGAATGATAACTTCCTCCTCGCCGACGTCACCCTCGCCTCCACTACTCTCATTCCCTCTCTTGTCATGTTCCTCCCACAATGATGAGGACAACTTCCTCCTCTTTGATGCCATGTTGCCCCTGCCCTTATTGATATCATTTACTCGCTTGCTCTTATCACCATTTTGCCCCCTCCTTTGCATCGATGTCATTGCACTCACCCCCTAGAAGAATTTGGATGTCATTTTCCTTTTACGATAATCGGGAAGACCCATTATATGTTCTATAATTCATGCTTGATGTGTGAGGGCGAGAGCATAATGAGCTATAGCTAACCACTAATGGACCTCTATGCCACATACGATAGAGATGCAAAGGAAATAGAAGGCGACAAGACAAAGATGGTGACGATGATCAATAAAGTGTACATTGGGGGTAATATTATCTTTTAAAAAATAATAAACACTCTAAAAAATAAAATAAAAATAAGGTGCCATGCGAGAAAAAGTAAAACCTCGAGTTTTTCTTGAGAGATTTTTCCCATTTTTTTAATCTATTTCTTGGAATTTTAAGTTAGTATTATATACCTCCAAAACCTAAAGGTCATATATAATTCACTGTAATTAATCTCATCAGCTACCGTACATCAATTGTCGATTGAAATTTTAATTTTCATTAATATCATATACAAATTCATTGTGGTTGATAAAAAAAATGAATAATTTGGGTATTTTGTATGTCTACATAGTTCTTACCTCAAATTTCTATATGAATATTAATGACAATAATATACGTGAAAGATCTATATATAGTTCTTACCCCATTGTCTTTTTCCTACACCAAGAGCTCACTTGCTGTTCTCTCAAAAGTGGCCGAATAAGAAAAAACATGGCTCTCATCAAGCATGTGAGATGATCCTTGGGGATCTGATGCCACCTTAAATAATTCATCTGTTCTTATCAATTCTTTTCATCCCATGTCACTTGGAATTATTTGTTTATCTTCCTTGTGATGCCCACAAAACAACACTCTTCTGTGTTTTGTTTGTTTCTTCTTTTATCTTTTTTTAGTACATGATTATAATATTTGACTTTGGTACTTCGAATACCTTTTAAAAAATCATCTCTATCTATGGAAGCAAATGTTGGAGAGTGAGTGATATTTCAGTCTCGATTAAAATTAAAGGAGGATTTTTTTTTCAGGTTTTTATATACATAATTGGTCTAATTTCAATCCACATTGCAAAGGATTCCTCCAAGTCACCTTTTTATCGACTCCCTCATCTTATTCCAATCAAAGTTTAACTTGCGTTGACAATTCTCTCATGCCTTTGCCACCAAATGATACTGCCTCTTTGCTTTCTATTATATAAGAAAAAGGAGAAGGTGTGCCATGATTACATTGCTTAATAGTACTTATTCTTTTGACTTTAACACCTTTTGACCTTAATCCACTAATCCAATTTGGATCATAATGCATCAGTCTTCGGCTTAAGTTCTTTTCCTCTATCTTCTATCAAGTATTGGTGTACTATCTCACGGGCTATTATGATTACATGGATTGGTTTGATCCACAAGACCTAAGAATTAAGTTAGTACAAGTCTTCAGGCCATGGTTGACTTCCTCAAACTCTTGCTTTCAATCGAATGACACTATGATTGCTAATGCTTGCTCCTTCCGTGAACAAATTGCTCACATGTGGCAAAACAATTGCCACATGTATATATATATAAGGTTTCGGAATGGGCCGAGTTCATCTATGTGGGCTTTGGATCGGCCCCTTGCAGAAGGAACGGGCTGGACCGTAATTTTATATATGTAAAGTGGATAATTTGGGAATTTGCACCTCTTTTGTAATTGTCTTCAGATCAATAAATACTTTTATGTTAACGAGAATTATTTTTATATCCAAAGTAGTCCACTGAGAAAAGAAAAAAATCAAATATGGAAATAGCTTTGGATTCTCTGCAACGCAGCACATCGACCCGACGCCAGATCTGCGCCCGTTATGCTTTGAGATGCGTGCGGAATATGGATTAATCTGCGTGTCACCTTGCAAGCGCTTCCTGATAAGAAACTGTACTGCCTGCAGGAATATGGATTCCAAGTTCATGCTTCGTATCTTATGATTGCAGGTTAACAGCTGTGGGAGGGGTTGACACGGGCAAGAGAATCAGAGGCTGCGTCGTCGTCTGAGACACCGCGGTAGCCACGCAGTCATCTTGTCGGTGGCGCTGCTCCACCGAGTATAATAAAGATACTTCTTCTCTCTTCTTCTTACTCTATTGTATTGCTCATAGAAAGCAACTCCTCTTTCCGTTCTCTTTCCCCTTTTATTATCGCTTCTGCTGCTCATCTTTATTTTCTCCCCGTTCAAGTACCCGACAGGTCTCCTCCTCCTTTCTATCGTGTGGCATTAAGCCACTGAAAGCTAGGAAGAACAAAAGAGTTGCATGAAAGCACTGGATGAATCGAACATACAGACAGCAGAGTAAATGGTGGAGCTTTTAGTGTTATGATGGCAATGGGTGGAGGCGTTCATGGACAGCCTCTCGAGTCGGACACAACGCACTGTAATGGTTTGATTATGTGATATAATATGCTGCAGCTATAAAGATAATGATGAGTTTGTATCCAAAATATTGTCACTGTTATCAGTCATCTGCACCGGCGTTAGATGAGAAATCCATGTTGGTGTTACAGAAACTGTTCGTCATTACAATCATCACCTGCACTGCTGGTGTACAGAGACCACTGTTTACAGTAACTACAGCTCTCCATAAATAACGACCAGACCCTCTCTCTCTCTCTCTGTACACGCACATTTCCAACCCAAAGGTCGCTACTTTTTGCTTGGTTTTCACTCTCCCAGCTGGGAATTTTGGCCGCTGCTGCTCTCACAGTCTTCTTCTCTTCCTTGACCTCTGCACAGGCCGATGTCACCGCCTCCGGAGCATGACTACACGGGCGGCGCCGTCGAGGATGGGGCCCTCAACCTCAAAGAGACGGAGCTTAGGCTGGGACTTCCCGGGTCGGAGTCCCCCGACCGGGACGACAAGGTAGGCATCACTCTCGAGCTGCTCTCCCCCAAGAGCTTCGTCTCCGGCGCGAAGAGGGTTTTCTGCGACGCCATAGATGCGGGAGGCGGGAAGTGGGGATTCTCCGCTGGAGAAGCCGGATCCGAGGTAGATAAGGGAAAAGGCAGCGTCTTGTTCACGCCCAAGGGTGAGGGTTCCGCCGGCGGGAAGCCTCCTGGGCTGGGGAGAGTGGGGAACGATGCAGCGGCCTCCGGGCAGGTAGGGAACTCGGGGAAGAGTCATCGTGAAGTGGCTCCTGCAGCAAAGTAAGTCTCGTAAGGTCGCTAAAAGTGGGGATTTTGGGAGCAAAATGCGATCTTTTTCGTTTCGTCCTTCTTTTGCGTTCGTCTTTTCTCTCATAGCGCAAGTTTGATTTCGGCTTCTACTTCTCCATAACTTGGAAGAAAAAGATACAAAGAAGAAAGAACTTTTGTGTGGTTGCTCGAGCTGTCATCTACCGATACATAACCTTTGCTGGATCTGTCGGGTCGCATAACAGAAGGATGAAAGAAATATTGTCCAAGTTGTCGAGGAGTTCTTTGTTTCTTTGCTGCGTTTTCTTATATGGATTACTGTTGAAAGCTTACTTATCCTTCTTGTGTTCATTATTTTATCTGATTGCTCCTTTATTCTACTTTCTTGAACCCCAAATCTACAGAAAACTATTCATCTCAAGTGAAAACATTCAGAGAATTCCCTTTCTTATTTCTTTGCTATTCATTTTGATGGTCTCAGCATGCTTTCTGTTCTCTTAGTTAGATTTTAAGCTGTAGAATACACTTTCCTTTCAGCAAATACCTCCACCAGGTTGCGTCTTTTAGCTTCAAGGATCAATATTTTTCTTTGGAGAAAGTTTCAGAGTGATGTTTAAGTTTGCTTTATGTTGAATTGTTGGGATGGTCTAACATTGAGGGTGCGCTGGGACAGGGCACAGGTTGTAGGTTGGCCACCGATCCGAAGTTATCGGAAGAACACGATGGCTACGAACCCTCCAAAGTACAAAGAAGATGTAGATGGGAAGCTTGGGTTGGGGTGCTTGTATGTGAAGGTTAGCATGGAAGGTGCTCCTTATCTTAGGAAAGTTGACCTTAAAACATACAAAGACTACAGAGAGCTTTCTTCGGCGCTGGAGAAGATGTTCAGTTGCTTCACAATTGGTGAGTTCTCTGGTTCTTCTACACTTGGAAGTTCCTATTGCAGATCTACACATATGCATTTGACATTACAAGCTTCTTTTAACTGTGCAATCTGCAGAAGCTCTAGTTTCCAACTGTCTAGGATGCGGGAGTTGTCGATCTTGGCCATTGAGTTCCATTGGGGAAATATCCTCGTTTAATTTAGTAGCTGTCAAACTAATTTCTACTAATTCTGATCAAGTCTCATGGAACCTCTGCTACATCAACCTTGCTTGCACCTTTTTAGATTTTTTTTAAATCTTCGTATATGCCTAGATATGTGATTTTTTTTAATTTATCCTCGAAACTTTTGTTGATGCTCGGTTAAATTGGTTTAGGTACTTCATTGTATGTTTCTCATGTAAACCGTAAGCTCTCAACTACTTGCAGTCGGCTACATGGATTTGCTCTTTCCATTCAGCTCTGTCGAGGGCCATTTGAACCATGCTATATTTAATTCTTTTCCGATGCCTCGAATGGACACCTGAACATCGTGGCGAAAATTTAATCGGAACAATTTTTTTCATCTTTGATAGTTTTGTAGCATGAGAAATTTACTTGTGCTTCTAAACCTCTTGGAATTTTAGGACAATGTAATTCTCAAGGAATACCAAGCAGAGATGGATTATCCGAGAGTCGGTTGATGGATCTTTTAAATGGGTCTGAATATGTTCTTACTTACGAAGACAAGGATGGAGACTGGATGCTTGTTGGTGATGTGCCGTGGGAGTAAGTCAATTTGAAGCTTAGCTATTTTTGAAGCATTATATCATAATAGCTTTAGAATATTATATTTTTTGGCCAGCCTTTATCAGAATAATTTATGACATGGAATCACTTCTCTGAGCTTTCACCTTTTGTTTGATTCTTAACAATAAAGGTTACATTCATTGTGCTCTGTTGCAATTCCAGGATGTTCACAGATTCCTGCAAAAGGTTGAGGATCATGAAGGGTTCTGATGCAATTGGACTCGGTAAGTTCAGGCAAACCGAAATCCTGAATAACCTACAGTCCGAACTACTGAAGGGTTCTGATGCAATTGGACTCGGTAAGTTCAGGCAAACCGAAATCCTGAATAACCTACAGTCCGAACTACAAACTTCGCAATCTGTAGTGATGCTTCCAAAATGCTGATATTCAATTTCACTTCTATTTTGCAAATCCATAAATTTTCATTTTGTATTTGTAACATGGTGATTTTTTAGTAGTCATCTATTCCTTAATTGAAGTCCGTCACTTTTCAGTTCAAATTCACTACTACACAAACTATCACTAAACAAATCTTAATCTGTGACCCTGCAGCTCCAAGGGCTATGGAGAAGTGCAAGAGCCGGAACTAGGGACCTTTGTTGTCCTACATATGGCTGTAAGGGCCCCTCCTTGAGACCAAGAGCTTTAGGGGTTTTAGTTGGCAACTGTTCTCTGTCTATTATATTATTTGAATTGCTATTTCCGATGGACCAAAGACTCTTGTTAATTAAGTTTCTCTAGGGACATAACTTTGTCGGATCGTGCTTTCAGTTTGTATGTCTACCTTTCATGTAAATATTTGGCTTGCTCTTTGTGCTCCTACAATCTGGTCATCTTTGCCTGCTCGAAAATGTTCAACGATGCTTGTTTTATTTTTTATTCATGTTTAAAAATGAAAAACCACCTTAAAATCTTGACATATCTAATCGACGAACGATCTCCTTCTGGAGACCGGTACTAAATCATGACATTTCTAAATGGAATGCAAATCATGCAAGTCCACATTGACTTTGGAAGCTGTTTCTCGGGCAGTTCTTTTTATAGATGTTGTATTACTGCTGTTGCCTTTTGTCGTTTGCCTTCACTTCTCAGGGAGAGATTATTGTCCTTTGCAAACACAGTTGTAAGATCCTGAGTTTGTCTTCACCTAATTGCACAAGTCAATGACTGTGTGGTATCTTTGTTAGAAAAATATCAGGTTTCAGTGTCTGCAAGCTAATGTCTCATTCTTCTTCTTTGCAAAGGGGCTTTGGCTGGCAGACCAATGTCACTGTTTACCTAAAAGCCTAATGAAGAAATTCCCTGTTTCTGTTATTCAATTGTTGGATCACTTTCATGCAGGCTTTTCTTTTTCTTTTGAGCCCTAGACATGCATGGTGAAACCTGCCTCACCATGGCAGCTTTACTGAGAAGCTTGGTGTGTGGGGACCTACTCTGTGTCACATAGCTTTTAAGGGTGATGATATTGTCCATTGAAAGATACAAATGCTTTCATACAATCATTCACCTAGAGCTAGACTGGAATATGGGAAATCAAAATGGTGGGAAGTTTTTATCTTCCCTTGGCTTTATTCCCCCCCTAAGAATCAGGCTTTCTCTCTCTCTCTCTCTCTCTCTCTCTCTCTCTCTAGGGGTGATGCTCCACTTGTTTCCTTTATCTTAAATCAATGTGCACTAAGCATGCAGTGTATTCCATGGGTTAAATGTCATGTTTATTTGTGTGTTGATTTCATCTGTCAACCTCTAATCCTATTATCCTCTTTATATGTATACTCTGCATCCAGTAGCTTGTCAATGCTTCCTTTGTGCTTTCTACTTGCAAACTACTCCATCTACTTTGTGTTGTTTGTATTGAATATGCTTGATAGATATATCCTGCTTCACTGACCAAATTGCTAGTTATAATAGTTTTTTTGTCTTCCTTTTGTCCAGATTATTCTCCCTTACAGTGTCCCAATTATTCGAGTGACAAAAGTTCTAAGCCACAAACTGCATGCTTATTTTGTTCAGACTATGACATTGCCAATGCCTGTGTTGAAGGTTGTTCTTATGATGGTAATAGATTGTTTTATCTCAACCAGTTGAGTTGCAGAGTGGTGACTCTTATGCTAATGTTGAAAATTTTATTGTGTTCTTATGTATGTGCTTTTATCATTACTTGTGCACTAAGTTTCCGGTACTGTGATGGATATCCCAATATCAGACCAATCAAAGAAGAAAGCAAAAGAGAATATGATATTATGTGATCATGAACAGGGAAATTAGTTGTAAATGAGATGGCAAATTATCAACTGGCAGTCATGTCTCTTCCAGATGCAGTGTGTTGCTTTCTGAGTTGGGAGCTTTTGATGGGAGCATAGGCAAACATCTTCCAAAATGAGTTAGATTCTGCAATCTTACCCTATGAATTGAAGGATAAAGTTGTTTATAGCTACAGTTTGATTCTCACAGATGATATGCTTAAATCTTGTCCAAGCTAGATGAGTTAAATATTAATCTGCTCATTGGAATCAGGTCCTACATGATGAATGGCAACTTGTAGGATAACATAAAAGGTATGGACAGAACCACAAACATTGGATGGCAGTATGTGCAAAAGGGGCTGAGAGGGGAATGGTGCAATCGATGAGAGCTAGCTAGAGGATGAGGGAACACTCTCCTCACCTGAACAAGAGAGACCCACAAGCTGCTTGCAGACAACCATCCTTGTTTTCTAAAGCAGCTGTTGGTCTACTCTACATCAGTGATTTGCCAACATCGGCGCTGGGACTTGCCCTCTGATATGAACTGTGCCCCCCCCATCTTCTATATTACCGTTTTGGATTTCCTGAGAAGGATGATGCACACAGTGACAGTGATTTACCACCAACCACTCCATTTGGATCTTTATCCTTGCTTTCTTATTTTTTGTGTCTTTGAGAACAGAGAAAGGGAACACTTGATTGATTGAGAATGGGAAGTGCCACCAGTGGACAGAATGCAAAGAGTAGAGTTCTTTGGATCACTGATATGAATGTGTCTACGTTTCACCTACACATATAATGTGTCTTACAGTACTTTAATTCCTTTAGATTCCCACAGAGAAACATAAACAACACTATGATCTCGTACGCACCTGTGTTTATGGTTCTTTTGTCTCTTCCTGTGTGTTTGCGACAGGCACCGAAGAAGATGACCAGCATTTCTTCCGTTGATGGCAACCTCTCGTGGCGACAGAAGAAGACGAAGGCAAGGAGACAAACGCAGGCGAGGGGGGAGAGAGAGAGAGAGAGAGGGGGCTTCCTCTCCGTGTGAAACGGCGGGCGGGGACCGCAGCTTAAGACATGCGGGACCTGTGCCCTTTGCAAATGGAATGGCGTTCTTATCTGGCTGGTGACTCGAGGGAGACACTCAGCGCGCCACACCGACTCGTGCGTGTAACAGCGTGACCACCACCGTGTAGCGGATGACAACGGATCGGGCGAAATCCGATATCGCACAAACTCCAACCCGTTATCAGATAAATCACGAGTATCCGACTCCGATGCCAAATATGTAACGTACGAATCCGCTCAAGCCTAGTTTAACTCGGATCGGGCAGTCTCATGACACGTGGCTCGTCAGTGAAGGTACGATCTGCGGGCCCCACCAGTCCTGTGTGTCAGAGTCACGTGACATGAGTAGGCTTATTTTTGAAGAAGCGATTCCCATCGTCAGTTATGGGCCCCAATAAATGGCGACGCTGTGTGATGACTTGGCCTGCACTGTCAGCCTTCATCGGCTGACACGGATGAAACGTCATATTCATTTTATTACGCAAACGACAAATAGTTTGTAACGGTACGTTACAAATTGGTTTGTACGCTATGCCAATTTTATCGGCTGTTTAGGGCATCGGCATGGAGAGGTGTTCGTGAGAGGGAGGTTTTTGGTTGGGGGTCTTGAGCATCGCCCGCCCATCATCCACCGGATCCCCCGAGAGATGAAGCTGAAGCAGCTCGAGGGCCTCCTCGGCACGCTCCAACAATTCGCCCACCCAAAGGTAGGCTTTTGCTGCTTTTGCCTTCGAATATGTTCCCCCTCTGCCGTGCTCTTCTCTTTATTCCTCGCAAATTAGATGATTCTGGTCTTTGATGTTGTCTTTCTTTCATTGCTCCTTTCCTGGATTCTTCTTTAAAACATATTGATAAAAAACATTTCTTTTGTTTCGTTTCACTCTGATTTGATTTTTCTATACGTGGCTGCGCAGGTGGAACTGGAGCAGTATCCGACAGGACCACACATTGCGTCCCGGTTGCTGTATACGGTATTCTCCTTTTCTTGTTGTTTTTCTGGTGGTTGTTGCCCCGAATTCAGACTTGGCGAGGATGAACATGTAGGAAAAAAAGATTTTTTATCTCCATGCCGATTTTCCCCGTTTCTTTATCGATGTCTTGCTCTTTCTGGTTGATGTTTCTTTGACAGCTTTATCTTTTACATCTTAGTTGGAGTTTTAGTTATAGGATTTGGTTGGAATTTTAGAATACCAATGACAACTCTATTGCTCTAAAATGTTGTTAGCTCTCCAATAATTTGAAGACCTTAAAGTCTGAAGCATGTTAAAGTAATATACACTAATATTTAGATGTAGGTGCTACGAGGTTGCTGATCTTATGAAAAGTTCAGTTAATATACATTTTATTGCGTATCTTGCTTTGATAATTTGTTTGAACTGCCTATAAGATGTTTGTTTCTTTTTCCCTGATGGTGAATGCTTATGGAATTCTCTTATCATCTGAATTGAGTATGCCATTTTTATGGTAGTTAAAACCATTCAATACCGCTTGTTATAACATTCTTATTTTGTGACCATTAACAGGCCGAAAATACATTTGGTGATATAAGTGGCAAGGTCGTGGCTGACTTCGGTTGTGGCTGTGGTACATTAGGTTTAGCAAGTGCACTTTTGGGTGCAGAGTGAGTACCTATTGTTCTTCTATTCCATTTGGTCAATCCCTCACCCGTTGCAATTTGCACATTTTCGTTTTTGGTGCTAGTTTGAAAAGGCATACTTAATTGCTAGTTATAGCATTTAGTTTTGATGGCCAATATTTATGTGGATATAATATTTAATACTTTATGTGTTATGTGCACAGGCAGGTTATTGGCATTGACATTGATCCACAATCTCTAGAAATTGCTTCAATAAATGCTGCAGATATGGAGGTATCACCGTAGATTCCAAATTGCAATATGATTTCTTTAACCTGAAATAAATGACATACTAGGCCTTCACTATGGTCATTTTGTTATGTGTGCAACAAAATGTTATCCGCACAGATGGAGTGCATGGAATCTATGGCTTGTTGTTGTACAAGCTTTCAAAGAATAACCAAGATGCAATTAGCTACGTAGACTTTAAGGGTGGGGTGGCAGGGAGGCATAGGAATGGGATATGCATTGGTGTATCACGCTGATTCCTCTAGAACAGGCATATAATGTGAGACAAGCAGCAACTTGATTGATGGGCTAATTATTAAGTTTGATTTGAAGGAATTTCATGACATTCTATGTGCTTGATTTTGATGGAAGATTTGAAGGAACATCACAACCTGGATCATGGAGTTTCTAGCCTAGCTGAAGTTTTGTATGACCTTAATTTTGTAGGAATATCACATCTGAATATACATATGTATACATCTGTGTGTGTACTTATATGCCCTTAAATGAGGCTGCTTTTTATCTGTAAGATAATATTATCCTTTTAACTAATTGTCACAAATCAAGTCTATATTTATCCTGCCTTTTTGTTAGGTTTTTTTGTGACAAGTCATGTAATTTAAGGCTAACATGTGCTCTTGGGATAATATATGTTGATGCAGCTGGACATAGATTTCATCTGGTGTGACGTCAACAAGTTAAGATGGAGAGGTAATTGCAGCCTTTGACTATGATTTTTTATGCATAATCGTGTTTTTGGCTTACCTGTATCTTCTATAAGAAGCATCTATTAGACTATCTTTTTGCAATAATTTATTGGACATAGTGAGGATCTTGTTGGAATTTACTTGACGTGTGCTGTGAGAATCAGAAGAGCAGTTCCGACTCCTATCATTTGCTTATAACTGAAGTTTAGGGGGCATATTGATTATATTATACCTAAAAGAAACTTTCAACCACATTCTGGTCCTAGGTTGTCATGGTACATACCATGTGATGTCGCTCCTTGCAGCACCATGTTAGGTTTCTCGTGTCACATGCGAGGCATGTTTTCATGGGTTTTATACTTGGAATGGTACCTGGGCAGATAATATGCGAGTATCATGCAGCATAGACAAGCATGACAATCCTCATGGTGTGTTAGATTGTTGCAGCCAAAATTCCATGATAGCTTTGTTTAACAATGTAAAGTATGTTTGTTGAAATGTTGAATTGTCAAGTATTTGCTTATTTTAGGTCTTAAATACCTTGTGTAGATGATGTGGTTGACACTGTTGTGATGAACCCTCCTTTTGGGACTCGGAAAAAAGGATCTGACATGGAGTTTCTTGCCAAGGCTTTAAAGGTGAGGATTGTTACTATCTCACACACCTGTCACGGTTACCACCATCTGTTTGTAAATTTCTTTTCTGATTGTTTTCAGGTTGCTTCTCAAGCAGTCTATTCTTTGCATAAGACTACAACCAGAGATGTAAGTTGCTTTTATTTGCATGTTTTTAGGAAGTCCATCAAACTGAACTAGCTATCACATGATTGCTTTATGTTTTAGGAATCGATGACTGTACATCCTCATCTTAATTTGTGTCTTTGATGTTTCACAGTACATTAAAAGAACAGCTATTCGAGATTGCAATGCTAGAAGCGCCGATATTTTATGTGAGGTATTCTGATCATTGTCCTGTTACCCTTTTTGCTCTGTTCATAACTACAAGAGTTTGAATCACAATCCAGTTTGACTTCTCGTGTTTAGATATCCAATTATTTAATCTGAAAACTGAAGCATAGATTAGTTCATAATAGGTGATCAAGCTAGGTACATGCTGAACCTCATTTGAGTTGGTAAACTTTTTTTATATAACTGCAGAAAAATAGCAGAACAAAAATTCTAGCACTGTTTGCATCTTTTCCATCCTGCAGGCAAGTGATTTTGTTTTCTGGTTTTGTAGCTCCGGTTTGATGTGCCACAAATTTATAAATTTCACAAAAAGAAAGAGGTCAATATTGCGGTGGATCTCTGGCGCTTTGTTCCTTATCCCACTCAAGAAAGTGCAGACAGCTGAGTGACATGGTAACCAGGATGAAACACATCTTTATCCAATCTCGAGCACTAAGTCCGCATGTTGTGACTTGTGACTGCTAGTTTCGTTCACCTCAATCAGCCGACCGAGCTATCATGACAAGAACAGACAGCAGAAGTAGCAGATTCAACTCGTAGATGACAATTTTTTTCAACTTAAAGATCACCCTTAACGGCCTCAATGGAAACTGAAATTTTACTACCTGTGGCTAAACACTTCATAAAGTTGGCTATAAGTAGGTAGGACAAGAGATTTTAATTAGGAATCCACTTCTACATGCATGTGCTTTCTTGTAACTTTATAATGACCTGGAGATGAATCTGCAATCATGTTTGGCTTCATTTTGTTCCACTAATGATTACTTTTTTTATGCAAAATATAAATTGGCAATATTCTTGTTGTCTCTTCTCATCTTAAGTCGATATGTTATTCAGATTTTGGAATTCACTCTGCTCCTTTTCTATCAGAGACAGCTAACAACTGTTAGATGCTATCCTGATAGTTTACAGTTTGCTTTCCTCAATGTTGCCACCAGAGCCTCATCAGCCTGATGCTGGACATCAGGTGTGCTTCAGCTATCAGACATTATCTTACGTCATATGGATTTTCCCTCCCTTCTGTTTTGATCTGTAGATCTGGGTTATGGGGTATGACTCCCAAGTATCCTGTTGCTAGTGATAATAACATCAGGACAAATATTTTTGGAAACCTGATTTGATTTGTTTAAACTGGATTGGGATACTTTTTATTGAATTTAGAACTGGTTCAACAAGGAAATTAGATACTATAATCAAGTTTGGATTTGGATGCCTAAGTTTTAATCATATCTGAGTTTGAATAGAATGAAATTAGTGCATTTCCTTGCATTGGGATCTCCTAGGAGTATGTGAAGATATCATTTTTGTGCTTTGGAAATTGATGGATTGTTTGATCAATCCATCTCCTTGGAGTATGGCTGCCTTTGTTTTGCCTCTCTAACTTCTCAATCAACACAATTAAATATAGCCTTTGCAGAGTCTCCCATTCTGGGAGTCAAGGCATCTTGTGGGCAACATATGGTAGGATCCATTACTAGTCATCACTAGGAAACCTATTTGAATCCAATGTTATGCTAAATCTGACCTTATCACAGGCATCAAACTAAGATAATTTTTTGTGTTTATGCTTGCCTGTAGAAGATTGAATTCTCTGTTAGTCTTTTAAATTTATATTACTGAAGGAATTTTGCTACTATTGAAATGGGATTCATCACCATCTCAGTCCCCAACTTACAAAAAAAAAAAGAAGAAGAAAAAGGAAAGGGTTCTTTAACATCTACTGGAACCATTAAATAAACTTAAAATGATCATCCATGCAAACAAATAATTCTGGATGCGGCTACATATCTGTTTTTTTTATTCTCATAAAAAAAGAATTCCCCATGGCCAGATTAGTGTTTATTAGGTATATGAACTTTGTCACATAAACTAAGACCAAGAAGTGACTTGGGTTTTGTATTTAATGAGTTCATTGCAGAAGGATTTAGTTTATTGGCAACGTGGGATGAGAAAGTATTATTCCAAGAAGAATGCATGTGGGTGTAATCTGGATTAGATGTTCTATGTTTCCTATCCAGCTCACAGTATCTTGTTCATTCACTTTCTATAGTACATTTCATCTCTGGAACATTTTCTACTTGATTTATTCTGTAAACTTCATCATTCCTACTTTGCTGGTCACATCATCATTCCAATGAAATGGATTTGCTGGTATCAGTGTTGGGAGAAGTGCCTGTGGCAGGGATTCTGGTGGAACTATCATCAAGCAAATGAGAATTAATAAAGGATGTACACGCAAGCATACATAAATTGCTTTACTTGGAGTGCTTTCTTGTGTTGTATTCCTAAGTGGATAAAACAATCTTGAATGTATGATTTGAATTATTTGACTTTTACTGTATTATTTGAATTACCTATCAATGTTGGACTACCATATGTCATGCTACATGGTAGTGACATTTTCTGACCGGACTTCTAAATGTATTTCATACTCTGTAAAGTGGAGTATTTATAATCTCATGATAGCTTCTGCTTCCTTTTTTTTTTTCCAAATCAAAGAAAAAGGAAAGAAAGAAAGAAAAAAACTAGTATTGCAATTGCTGACACCTGCAAATGACCCAAGTGAGTGGAGATTATTAATACAATAGTTGAATCTGATATCAGCAGTGCTTTGTCCCTTAGCAATCCTTTTCTTTTGATCTCATAAGACTAATGGTAGTCAACAAAGATGTACCAGAAGAAGACATGTGGTTGGGAACTAAACATGCTAGTCATTTCTGTGGCCTTGGACTTTTAATAATCAGTCCTTAATGCTGTCTTCTGGCAAAGGTTTTGCCACCAACTTCATCAAAAGCCATGCTTGAGAGGCATGAAAAGTGTCAGTTCATAAAACAAATCAACTCAAGAAGAACAGCTGTCATGTTGGTGATTAAATACTCAAACAATGTAAATAAAACCACCACTAGCTTGCAGAAGATTTTGATTCCTTGGACAGCTACTTCTCGAGAGCAATGAGGTCAATCAATGATGACCCCAGTTTGTCAATAGTGTTGGATCTGTGCTTGCACATAATTTTTCCATATGGATGTCAGATTTCTGCATCTCTCTACAGATGCTGTGTGTTCTGCAGAGTGGGAGTTGCATTGTAGGATATCTGAATTCTACTCTAGCAGCTAAAAGAGGCTGCATGATTGACTGCAGATTCTAAGAGAAACTTATGACAGGTTTTGTTCATCATCATGAGGTGCAAGGATAAAAAACACAGAACATGCATACATATATATCATCTGTCAATGGACTTCATGTTGCAAGTAGGACATCTCTTTGGTGCATGTGACTGCATGAAAACCTAGATTGAGTTCCTTTATAGTCACATATTCTGAGAACTATAATTATACTCTGGATCTGAACATCCATCCCCAATATGAAACTTCTTTGCTATTTATCAAAGCTGATACTTGCAATTATGAAATACTACAGCTTACTTTATCTTATTGATAAGATTAATGACATAATCACCTGTTAGTTTTGGCAAAATTAGATCTGAGGATTCCAAATGGAAAAAAATCAACCACTTCCAACATGCTTGAAACTGTGGAAAGAAATCAATGTGATTGAGCTCACTTGTCATATTTGTTGATCCTAGCTACAGAGATTGGGGCAGAAAGCATATATTCTCTCTTATTCTTATTCTTATATATACATGCATACCATTCATGATTGTGAAGATTTGATTCATCATCTAGATACACAATTAATAATTCAGAAACTGTTGGATGTCTATTTCTTAAGGCCCTCCATGTCTTCTCTTTTCAGGATAGAGAGCTGATAAAGAAGGTCAAAGCAAAAAGGAAATGTAGATTCTTGGAATTCTAAAGGCTTGAAAGTTCAGAGTGGCTTCCAGATTAAGAGACCTCAAGTTGACAAACTACACATGTCAATTGGCCCAAATTGCAAGTATTTTATTGTATAATAATCACTTGATTATGGGATCAGACATGTCCAAGTTGCAATTGGCCTCTTACAACCTGCCATACTTTGTGCACCACCACCATGGGTGCCAAATGAACTCATATAATTGGTGTACTAAACTTTGATATCGAGTCCTTTATGTTGGATAAATATATTGATGCGACAGATATTTCTGACCAATTACAATCATACACATGGAGGAGTCTCCTCCATGTGTATGAAGCTTGTGGCTTTGAATACAAGTGAGGGTGAAAATTTGCAGGAAGAGTTTTTGAGTTAGGTTGGCATTTTAGGCCTATTTTGTCTGATTCTGAGCTGTCTGCTATTAGATTAATTGCTGCTCAGTCCCCTCGAAGGTAGTATACCTAATATTCCCCCCATGACGAGCACTCCATGGGACTGCCAAGGAAGCTTCTTGATACTATTATTTAATGTTTGATATGTGGTCATCTTTCTCAAATCTATCTTGTATGATTGATGCATGTTTTTTATGTGCCACGAGGAGCATGGATCTTGTGATCAATCACTTGCCAAGTTAACCGAGCGTATATTGTCTTGGAGACCAAGAATCACGTAGCAGCATCATCTTTGGCAACTTGATCTATGAAGATTGTTAGCACATCGCCATTATTTTAGCAAAGCAACGAAGGGAATGCAGTAGGAAAATGCACTATAATATTGCACCAAATCTTCATAGAAATCGCTTCCAGTTTTGCAATAATTGCTTTGTGGAGAAGCTTAAGAGACGCCTTCGCATCCCTCTCTCTCTCTCTCTCTCTCTCTCTCTCTCTCTCTCTCTCGGCTATATGGTGTGTGGTGCGGTGGCCTCTCCAAGTTCAAGTCCTGAAGGAGAGATGGGAAGCTGCAACCTCGGTCAGCTGGGAAATGGAAGAGTTGGGTCCTCGAGGAGGGGGAAGAAGAGCAACTCAGACAAGCAAAAGCAGCCGCAAAGAGGACTTGGGGTGGCTCAGTTGGAGAAGATTAGGTTGCAGAATGAGATGATGGCGGGCTATCTTCACTCCCCATTTCCCCGCGATCTCAACAAGGTCTCTCTTCCCTTTCTCTCCTTTCTGAAACACACACACGAACGCTTCTGCAAGATCTCTATGCTTCTTGAATTGATCTTGTCCTCCATGTCATCGTGCAGGAGGATCTGAGAGCGCCTTCAACGGTGACCACCTCATCCTCTCTCTTTGGTGCTCATCCTAACATCATGGTATGACCATCATGATTCCTGCAGGCGAAAAAGCCTTAGATCTGATTAAGCTTAAACTACGCTACCGGGGATCAGCATTCTATTTGTTTCATTCCTTTCATGAACGCGTCAGAATCTTCTTTCGCCTTCGTTGACGATATCTCACATCGTTTCAGATGGGATTTGGAGGCTCCACAGGGACAGAGATCAGATACGGTGAGCTTTATCCCGGTGCAACAGCAAGGTAATCGATCTTAATATCAACCTCTTACGAGGATACGATGGGAGAATGAATGAATTCAACGTTCGCGTTCGATTCTCAGATCCTTGAACGACGCAAATGATCTCCGACCACATCACCTTCGACGGCCAACCGCGACGCTGCCGCTCATCGAACAAAGCTCGGAGGTATGTATGTCTTCCATGAACCCGATCACATCTGGGTTTCGACTTCCGTACTCATTCGGAGTCCTTCATGCAGAACGACGGACGACGCGACCGGCGTCACTCGGTCGGTTCTACCAGCAGCCAAAACTCCGACACGAGCAACTCATCAGAACTGGATTTAGAGCTCAGATTGTCACTGTGAGTGATGCTGATTTACATGTCAAATGCCTGAGCCCGTCATCGGCGTTGCCATCAAGAGAAGCATGACGCTTGCAATAGGAATCGGAGATGCAGCTCTCGAGCAATTAGGAAGTTGATATCACACCCAAGCTGGAAGCAGAAAGAGTGATTCTTTGTACTCCATCACGAACACTGTTCTTCCTGGCTCAATGTCACGAAGAACCAAGCATGCTGTGATTTGCTAGCACCAATCATGATGCCATGAAAGCTCTTCGATATGAGTTACATCGGGTTCTACATATCTATGATGTATGGTCTGCTCAACATCTGATCCGTTCGAGATCATTTAATCATCAAACAAAGCATTAATTATCCACCAAAATTGTATTATTTTGTTCACCGATGATGATACCTTTTTTTATGGGTCAAAATTTAGTCGATTACTGACAACGTCGTCGTTAATTCGTCGCTAATTTTCTTTGATTTATGACTCGAGGCAATGAGTTCTCTCCTTCGTGTTCATCCCATAACCCCATTTCCTGGATCTCACGTGACCATAAAATGGGCCCGCGATTATTGGGTCCCAGAGCTAATTTGGGGTTTTAACGAACGTCAAACTCGATCATTACCATTGAACAGATTTGATCGATGTGATCCTAAATCTTTGGATCCCATCATGGGATACGTTGACTAGTTATACATGGTATTAATATCTGACAAGATTTTGGAGGTATTTTGATTATATTATATTTTTTTCTTTGTTCTTCTAATTAGGAACGACAGTGAATCGAGGTTGTCAATTTCTGCTACAGCATAAATCTAATGCGGCGGCGGCGGTATATTAAGGTACAAATAGAAAGGTAAATATAAGCACTTCCTAAAGAAGGTCAACATGACTTCCATTGCTTTGACCATGTCAACGTTGACCCTTTCCCCGTCCGATGTTGACCGATGGCCCTCCTAAATTGCGTGTAGCCAACCATATCCGTCCTATATCGGACCACAGCATGACTCAATAATTAATCGACCACAAGCTGTCTCACGAAACGGAACACCATCCAAACCCATGATAAGAGAGGCGGCGAAGACGAGAGATTAACCAAGGGTTACAGGCGAACGAGAAGACAAGCTCAGAATCGACGTCGATGGAGACGACGACGACTCCTTTACTTCGCGTTCTCGTTCTCGTTCTCTTCCTCTTCGATTCCGCTGTCGCCCAGCCCTTCCTCTTCGACCCCATCAACCCGCTGCTGAATGCTGGCCCGGCGCAGAAGAAGCCCAACTATGAGACCTCGTTCACCGGTATCTGGGAACTCATCCGCAACAGCTCCGGCGTGTCGGCCATGCACCTGGTCATCACCAAGGAGAACAAGGCCATCCTCTTTGACTCCACCAACTCCGGCCCCTCCCTGCTCCCACTGCCGGCCGGAAATTGCCGCCCCGATCCCACCAACAAGACCAACGGCGAGGACTGCTGGGCGCACGCCGCGGAATACGACTTCGTGGCCGACCAGCTCCGGCCGCTCAAGGTTGGAATGGATTGCTTCTATTCGTGCTTTGGCTTGATTGGTTACTCGGTTTGGCCGTGACTGTGTGTGCAGGTGTTGACGAACACTTGGTGCTCGTCGGGAGGATTCGCCGCCGATGGGACGCTGGTGCAGTCCGGTGGGTTCCATGAAGGAGCCACTGCGGTCCGGTACCTCAAGACTTGCCCGATGTGTGATTGGATCGAGTACCCGGCTGCTCTCTCTGTCAACAGATGGTAGCTTTTCTTTGACGAGTTTAGCTTCTTTTACTTGCAATTTCTTAGTGTAGAGATTGAGAAGAGAACTAAGAGAATAATATTACATTCGTAAGAGTATAAAGAGTCGAATTATATATATTAGGTTAGGTCTGATCATATTGATCCATATAACTTGTACTCATTGATGCATGCACGAGCTCAGAATTACTATGGTTGGTTCCCAGGTACGCCACCCAACAGATCCTGCCCGACGGCAGCTTCATCGTGGTCGGTGGGCGCCGCGAGTTCAGCTACGAGTTCATCCCCGCCCCCGGTCAATCCAACCCCTCCAACTACAAGCTCCCGTTTCTCATCGAGACCACCGACGACGAGGAGAACAACCTGTATCCCTTTCTCCACCTATCGACCGATGGCAACCTCTTCATCTTCGCCAACAACCGATCGATCCTCCTCGACCCCCGCACGCACACCATCCTGCGTGAGTTTCCGCCCTTGAAAGACGGCTCGCACAACTACCCGGCCTCCGCCGCCTCCGCCCTCCTCCCCCTCCGCCTCCGCAGCAGCACGACCGCTCCCATCCCCGCCGAGGTCATCATCTGCGGCGGTGCTTCTCACAAGTCTGCCGCGCTCGCCGCGGAAAAGGTCTTCATTCCGGCACTCCGTCGGTGCTCCCGCCTCACCATCACTAAGCCGAACGCGAGGTGGCACACGGAAGTCATGCCGACGCCGCGCGTCATGGCCGACATGCTTCTCCTCCCCACCGCTGACGTTCTCATCATCAATGGTGCGACCAAGGGCACGTCCGGGTGGGGCTGGGCCGAGTCACCGAACCTGGAGCCCCTCCTCTACCAGCCGTCATCGAGGCGCAACGAAAGGTTCAAGACGCTAACGCCAACCACGATCCCGAGGATGTACCACTCGACAAGCGCGGTGCTACCCGACACCAGCATCCTGGTCGCCGGCAGCAACCCAAACAACAGGTACAACTACACGGCACAATACCCGACCGAGTTCAGGTTGGAGAGGTTCTACCCGCCGTACCTCGACCCTGCATTGGCGGTCCACCGGCCGAGGATCGTAAAGGAGCTTGCTCCGAGCAGCGTGACCTACGGAACGAGCTTCCAAGTCGTGTTCGACGTAGCAGACTTAGGGTTGGAATCGGGGGACTTGAAGGTGACGATGTATGCGCCGCCGTTCACCACGCATGGTTTCTCCATGAACCAGAGGCTTCTGATACTGAGTACGGTGGAGCTGTCGCCTGCTGGATTGGGAAGGTGGACGGTTGCAGTGACTGCGCCGCCCTCAGGAGTGGTGGCGCCTCCTGGGTACTATCTTCTGTATGTAGTGAACCGTGCGGTGCCAGGTGAAGGGGTGTGGGTTCAGCTAATGTAGTTATTAAAAGAATAAAAATACCATTGAATTTGCATTTCTCTCGATAATTAATTCTCTCTTTTTTTTGTCGTCATAATTTTTATTTAAAATAATTTATAAATGTAATTCTGTTTGCCGGAGTACCTCTTTAAACATAGCAAAAAAACAAAATCCAATTATGAAGGCTGATCAAACAGAGCCAAATCGATCGGCTTCTAATGTCATTTCGTGACTTAATGTACGTAATTGCACTTCTAAAATAATAAAATTGAATTAAATTCATTAATTGTATTGGGTTGAACTCTCGAATCAAGGGAACCTCTACCGTTGAGATGGCCACGGTGAGGAAGGGTCCACCGAGATGGAGATTTCGGTGACTTCTCGGGTGACGAGGTGAGAGACTGAGTGGCCAGTGCGAGCGTCCGCGAGCTCTGGGACTCACCCACGCGGAAGACTCTCGGTCCTCCACCCGCAACCGCACGTGCATCATGCGTGGCAAACCCTTGTTCTTCCGCGAGGCAAAAGGGTCGCGCGGCTTACCCCTACCCAGATGATCGCCTGCAAGTCGTCGTCGAGGTGAAGGATTCGCCCTCCCCCTTTTCCGCTTTTTTCTTTTCCCTAGCCCTGAAACAAAAGGCCGGTTGCTGCGAGACCGCTGATTCCTTGCTCGTATCGTGGCAGATTCCATTGCCTGCTCAAAGTCGCGTTCCCGCCGAATGCTCCTCTCTCGAGCCCGTTGAGCCGCCTTCAGGTTTGATTTCTCGAATCCCCATTTTCTTTTTTCTTTAGTCCTCCGTTACACTTTTACTAATTATTGGGGATTTTTCTTGGTCCATAAATCTATTTCTTTTAATCATGCATGCTACTCTAGTTGGAAATAAAATAGCCCTCCTTTAATCGTATATAAATAAAGAAAAATGATAGCGGCATGGGGTTTCAAGTTACGATGAAATAGTTGCTCGGTTAAACAAAGTTAGTGTTATTGTCACTTATTTCCTATGTTAACGTCAATTTTGTTTGATTAGGTTGTCCCTTTTGACCAGTGTTTGAGGAGCTATATTTAGTTTCAAATGGAAATTGATAACTTTCTTTTCTAATGTTTAAGTTGTATTTCATACATCATTTGTTCTTTTCTGTTAAAATTTATGGATACTTCTCAAGCTGTTCTTGGATATGTCAGGATTGTCCCAGAGGTCAGAGTTTGAGTCTTATCTGGAAGATGGCTAGCACAAAGGACCGGCATGCGGAGTTGGACAGGCGTAAGAAGAGAAAATCAATTATGCATGTATGGAGGCCAATCTCCACCCAGTCAGCTTCAAATGAAGGTTTTACTAGTTCAGTTAATTTTTGTGAATGGTTTCATGCATAGTCTTTAATTCTACTGTGATGGTGTGGCCTTTGGTAGCATGAACTTGACTGCTTATAAGCAGTCTAGCAAGATCAGCCAATCAAGGTTTTACTTGGTAACCAATTCCAGAATGTTTAAGCTTCTTCCCTTCCCTTCCCTTCCCTTCCTTTCCAAGAAGTTTTCTGTGGTTTGGTTTTGTTTTACTTGACTAAGAAAAAGTCTTATCCAGGCACAATCTGTATACTGTTTTCAGAGACGGAGGACTTAAAATGTTGCCAACTTGAATTTTACTTATGATGATCAATTGGTGACTCTTATCTATCAATAAGTATTAAAGCCTACGACAACTTCCTCTATTTTGAAGTCTCTACATGACTAAGTTTGTTGTGCAATTCTCATGATTAGTTTATTGTCATTTGAAACTAAATTATGATGTATTTTCTTTACTTATGCCTTGTTTGTTGCTTGTTGAAGAATGCTACGGATTTTCCAACGATGTGATGTCCTATTTCTGGTATAGTAGGGTGCTGTTATCGCGCAATTCGATGTTCTACATGCTCAAAATATAGGCATGCATATACAATGTCAATACCTTGCTAGGATAGTAACATGCCAGCGGCATGCTCCGGGATGGCATGCTTCAGATAAAGACCTCTTTCAGCATAACTCTTAGTCAAAATATAAAGAACCATTTACTGATTCTTACTGCCACAGTTTTTTATGGAATGTCTCTTGACTTCATGAGACTAGCTAACCAACCGTCTATGGGTTTGGTGGATATGAACTCATTATTGCATTTTCTTTTTCTTTATAATTAGGTTGGAACTATTTTATGCCTGTGTATTCAGCAGTCTCACTGCAACTAGATAGCATCATATATGCTGATTTATGTATATGTTTTTTGTTTGATTCCATGATATTCTCTCCTGGTGATAGAAACTAGAAAGGGTTCTTTTTTGTCTGTTTGATCCTTTCATTATAGTTGTTTCTATAGCTAATTAGTTTCATGATGCTATGTATATTTCATAAGCAAATTTCAACAAATCATTTCCTGCAGTTGATCACAGTAGATCTGATGTTCAGTGTCAACTCCCAGAGTTGCATCAGAACAAACCTTCTGGTGTTTCTGATAAAGAGATCACCACCCAGGAAGACTCTGTTATGGGCATTTCCATGACACTAACTACAAGTGCTCGTGCCGTGGATCATGGCAACGATTTTGAAACAGAAAATGTGTCCACATGTCATGATCTCAGTACTACCTCCAATTCTGGTGGGGCCCTTGAGCAAGGAGTTATGGAGGGTGCTGTACAGGTGATGAACCCAACAACGGGTGCTGAATTAGGCAGTGGAGATGAAAGACATTCAATTTCTATTGAGGTATCTCTATCTATTGTTTTCTAGTTGTTCAATACATATTTAATTTCTGTGCTGATTTTTGGTGTGTCGGTATGCCGGAATTTACTGCGAACCATTAGGGGAGGGAGAGGACGGGAGGAAGAAGGAAGAGTAAGCAAAGGAGAAGGAAACAAGGAGGAGGAGGAGGAGGAGGAAGAAGGAAGAAGGAGAAGGAAAAAGAGGGGATGACAAGGAGGAAGAGGCGGCAGTAGAGGAGGAGGGGTGCTGAGAGGGCAGTGGGTGGGCTGGCGGTGAGTGGTGAGCGGCAGCGGTGCTGGCCTCCTTGCAAGTTCAAGAGTTGGATGCCCCAAACATTAAGAAATATAACATGTAACATGTAACATAATATATGATATTTAATATTGGGTTTATCCATGTACCGGTCGGTGGTAGGCAGTCGGACCAGTAAATACCAGTTGAACCATGCCAAACCGGCTAGTTTAGCGAACCTTGCTGTAGTGTACACAAGATCACTGATTAAGATTATGGTATATTGTCTATTCACTCGATCAATTCCTTGTCTTTAATATTAATATGCAATATTGAACTTTAGTATTACCACAAATCATTGTCAACTGTTTGTTAGTCCAATTTCTTCAAATTTCTCTAATTGTTAAGTGACAAGCCTCATATTGCCTTGCACTGTCCTGTTAATTGGAATATTATATGCTTTGGTAATTGCTTTCACTGTATTACTAATCATTCAAAATCTATTCTGTCATATCGTATAATTATTGAAGATGCTAATAAATATTTAATCTTTTCTGCAGGTTGGTGCTTCCTTGATTCGCTTTATTAAAGGAAAAGGGTATAAGTTTTATGATTTTTTTCCTTTTTTGTATCTTTTAGTTTATTGCTAATTTGCATAATTTCAGTGTAGAAGTTTCTTAGTTCTGACCAAGATAGGCTCTTCTACCTTGTAGAGGTTCTATGCAGAAACAAATTGAGGGAGAGTTGGGGGTAAAGATTGTATTCCCTTCATCTAAGGAGGACAGTAACATCAGTAAGTGTGTACTTTTATTAGTAAAACACCATATTTGAACTTTTGGACATACTAAATTTTCTTTTGATTTATATTACTTGCAACTTGTAAGTTTCTAGATTACAGGATTATCTGTTGTGTAAGCTTCTTACATGTTATAAGAACCAAACATTTGCGTAAGAAATACCTCATTGATCAGCAGGTGCTTTACTGTAAATGAAGACTTTTACAGGCTTAATTTCTTATACCAAGGAATCAACATGCATAATGAAACGAGGGTCACATTCTTCTGAATGACAAGCATATGAATATTTGGATGTAAGATGAGAAAATTGTTGCAAGATTCTACATGGAGCAACTAAACTAAGTTTTGTTTAGCTCTTAGTTCACCTACTGCCCCTCATAAAAAAAGAAAAAGAAAAAGGAAAACTGGCCTGAGGCCAAGATATTGTTGGCTACCTTTACATTTTAGATGGAACCATTCACCAATATTTTAGCAAGATAAAAACCTGGCCTTTGTTACTCTCTATTGTTCACTGAACTCTAATTAGACTTGTAGACATCACCACTTCAAGTTTGATATCTGAATTCCATCCACCTATATCTGAATTCCATCCACCTATAGTACTCTTAGTTGACATAATTCTCATGACCCAACCAAATATTAGTTCACTTGTACCCCATATAAGCTTTGTTTTTGAGTTAATTTGATCCAACTAAATGAACATGCTTTATGGGCTTGTAAGTTTTCTTTATCCTAAACCAAACTAAACTATGTTGCCATTTTTTGTCAACCAAGCTCCTGATATTGTCATTCTGTTGTTTTTCTTTGACCATTCCTTTCAACTTAGAAAATGCCAACTTTCCTTATCAAACACTACTGTCTGTCTTACCTTTCATCCATTCATGCAATCGTTTATAAAATGGTCAAGAATGTTATCTTTCATTCATCATTATATCTTTCATCTTTAAGTTGTGTATCTTCTTTTGATTATTCTACCCCTTAATCAATTAAGTTTAAACAAATATAACTGAACTAACTGATGAATAGTTATGCGCCTGCTTGAATAAATTATAACTTTCCACATTTGTACTCGAATTATAAAGTAAATAACCAAAATTTGGTATGGTAAAAGCCTGTTTGCTGTTTTTTTAAAGATTCTTTTGTTAAGAGATGTGGTTGCTGCGCTCATTCCCATATAGTATTCTATTTGACTAAATATCTGCATATGAGATGACTTTTGGCTGAAAAAAGATACAAAACCTATGAGATGACTAAATATCTACCGTTCACCTTGAACTATATGACTTTCTTGAGAAAGCTTAATTATGTGGTACCCTGGTGTTATTATTGCTTGCTCTCTTACATGGTAAGTTATAATGATAGACTCCTTTTTGCAGCTATCGAGGGTACTGTTCAAAGTGTTGCTAAAGCATCAGAAAAGATTGCTAGTATACTCGAAGAGGTTGGTAGCCAACTTCATCAGTTAATAAGAAGGATAGTATGCAAATAACATTTGCTTAGTTTCTTAGTTGCTCTGATATATAATTGCAACAGCTAATTATGTGAAACCTTTCTGTACAAAACATTGGGTTCTTGAATGCTCGAGGGCAAGGGACATTCTTTTTTTTCTAAAATTTCTTGTTAGGTAATTTAGATAGGAAATATCTCTGGTTTTTCATATTGATTCACTAGCATGAAAATGTATACTTTTGCCAAAAAAATGTTATAAGGTCTATGCAGTAATTTCAGTTAACTAAAAGATGTATATTGTGAAATCTGGTTACATTTTGATTGTCTCAGCCCCTCAGGTATGTATCTATACCACAGTCATGCGATTTCAGCATCATATTACTAATTATAGGTGGTAAACCTTAAGAGCACTTTAATTTATCATCTAGTGTTTTAATGGTTGACTTGTCCCTTGTCTATGAACTGTTTACATAAGTCATATCCAAAAGACCACCAATGTTTCTACCATGTTCTAGTGCATTATAAACTGGGTTAGATAACAAGCGGGCTTTTCATGCTTTTGACTCATGCCAGTTAGCAATAAGTCTTATGGAGTTCATGAGATATGAATCCTCTAATTTGACTTGCACAGTGTGCCAACACCTGGCATGTTGGTTCATGGTGTGGTACCAAGAAGGGATGTAGAAGGAGAGGAGGGGTAGAGGAGTGGAGTAGAGACGGAGGAGGAAACACTGGGAAGATGGGTGGCGATCAGTTCAGGGGCCATAGGCGTGCGTCAACACAAGGCGCAAGGAGAGAGTCTCATGTGCGAGTGGCTACAGGTGCTAAAACATCTAAGCCTGCCTCCCCTTAAAAAATGAACTGGACTGCGCAAAAAGCCCTGTTCATTGTCCCGATTTAACCCTGGACCAATAAATACCACTGGTACAGAAAAAGCCCTGTTCATTGTCCCAATTTAACCCTGGACCAATAAATACCACTGGTACAGATCGGTCGGTGCAAAATTTGAACTCCTTTTTGTGTCTACATGAACTGGCTGATATAAGTTTGTTAATTGGCTATGAAGGTGCACACTGATTAGCATATTCATATCAAGCTTTTGAATTAGAACAATAGAAAATTAACGAAATCAGGTAAAAACTAACTAAAATGGGACCAGTCCATTTATTAATATTTAGTCAGAAGCATCTCATTGCAATCAGCACTTGAAATATTCTGTAGGTGAGTATAGTTTTTTTTGAAAATTCTTACCCGTATTTTAATACTATGAGTTTGGAAGTGAATAGATCTGAATTTAATTTCAATTATGTATAAATTAACAACTAAAACAATCACATCTCTATGTTTCATGTCCCACATGCATAGGTTAAACTTTTATCACCGTACAATCTAGATATATATGGATTGAGTTATAGTGCAAAGCCCATCAGGGTAATTGAAGAGATGATCGAGAACCACATTGTGATAGACAAACATTCATGAGAAGAACCAGTACTGCTATACTTTTGGATCCTAAATTCAAATTATGGTAACTTGTGGCATTAATAATTTCTTATGATCAGTGGTCTAAGGGTGTCTGCTGCAAAAGATTATGTTCAGAACATATGTTCATGCTATGCATACTGGTTTTAATGTGTGCCTGTGTTTTTCTTTTCTTAGGTCTTTTATTGTTTATCATAGATTTCCAACTATGTTGTTCGACTTGCAAGTTTATCTGTATAGACTTGTATATGCTATATATGTAATGATGGCAGTTCTTATTGCACACTGTTTTATGAAGTCAGTAATGCACCATTTGGTAAATACCTTATTGTTCTGATTTTCCAGGCTGTGGAAAGCCCAAAGCTTGATTACTCTCACTTTATATCCCTACCATTGGCACTCCACCCAGAACTGGTGGAGAAGCTAAACTGTTTTCAGAACTCTATAATTGGGGATTCCACATTTAGTGATGATGATGATTTGGAAAAAGAATCAAATGATGGTACCACAGATGATGAGGACAATCAATCAGAAAGACAGAAGGTTGCTGTTAGGCTTGAAGTTCAAGATGAAAAGGAATGTGTAAAAGTGAAGATAAATGCTATGGACTACAAGTCTACTACTAGAGCTTCGTCTTTGACAGGTAGATCATCTTCTTCTGAAGTTCACATGAAAAACAGAGATTAGATGATGAACAATCTTGAATGATGTAGGACGAGAGTGGCATAATATTTTTTAATAATAGCGTAATATAAAAGAGAGGAATAGAAGATAGTAATTGAAAGATAATAGGAAAACAAATGGATGACCACTGGACTCACTCGGGCTTGAAGAAAACACTCCCAGGATGAAGGCCTCCCACTTCTGCACATCTCGCATGTGGACGATGGAATCATGCCATCGAAAAACAAATGTGGCCTCACATCACTGACACTCAAGGTGGGAAAAGAACTCATTTCATTGATCCATCGCTGATTGATTTGCATTACAATGTTCTTGTCCCTTTTTATGGGCTAAGAACAAGAAAAGAAAAGGAAAATGTAAAAGTGAAAAATTATAATTAAATCAAATCAAATGTATGATTTGATCTTTTCTTCGATGAAGATAATATCTTAATTGATATGTTTTCATCTTCGTAGAGATCAATCTTCACAAAATCTTCCATCAGGATTTGGAATCTTCAATCACAATCATAATTTGATTTTTTTTCAAATTCTTTTCAAATTTTATTTTCTTTGAGTAAACTAGAAAAGTAGATAATAATTATTCAGTATCTAGCCATGTGACAACTTATGATATGCAAAATAACCTCTATACTAATCAAATTTATTTGAATAAGAGATAGATAAGATTGGTTCTGCATCATTTAACTTCCTCAGTAATAAGTTAGTGACCCAAGTACTCATGAAAGTGAGTAGTTGAGATGACTAAAGTCCTGTCACCTCGAAACAACATCATGGGTGGACCTATGTTGCACGAACTCTGATGCGGAGTGTGTATGCAGATATGCATCCTTAAATTTATCATGGCTGTTGCTCTAAACTATGAAACAACATCATGGGTGGACAATATGTTCAAACTCTGATATGGAGAGTGGACACAGATATGCATTCTTAAATTTGACAGGGCTATTGCTCTAAAGTATGACACAAGGATAAGATCTAAAATGGTTGAATTTATAATATAGGTATGAGTATCTTTGAATTTAACTCTTAGTGCTATTTTAATATATTATAAAATATTTTAACACGAAGAAGTAAGTGTTCCAGCAACAGAAAACTGTTTTGTTCCAGCATCAGTCAGTGTTCCAGATCTCAATAGCTGTAAATCTCTATCTGCTTTTGGTATGCTTGATTTGCCATTTTATGTAGTTAAACTTAAAACTCTCTTAGTGGTATAATTTTAAATGTATTATATGCTTAGCATGGTTTGTCTTACCAGTCCATACTGGCATACCAATCAGCTATCGGTATGATATGTACTGATGCACCAACACGATATGGTGGGACATACCAACTGATCGATATGTACCACCCATACCGATCTCCTATTGATGTACAACTCATACCAGGCCGTACATCGTGGTATGACAAACCTTGATGCTTAGCAAGTAAAGTGGGCTTTAAGAAAGTGAATTTAGTATTTGCCACCTTTGTCTCGTGTACTTTATGAATAACTTTCTCTATCTTGTGTCCGGCTAATGGATATCAAAATTTTGTAGGAGATGGATAGAATAGCCTGCATTCTTTACTTTTACTGAAAATTTATCTTATTCTTTTGTTCTTTCAGATTTTCCTCAGATATTATTGATTCCTCTGATTGTACAATTACAGATATGGGCATTGATAGATCTATATTTATTAAGCCAAAAACATTTCATTTGACTGTTCTTATGCTGAAATTGTGGAACAACGAGCGAATTGCTACAGCTGCTGAGGTTCTTCAGGTTATAATGTTTTCCTACAAACATAATTCATGTGGTTATTAGATTGTTGGATAATAGCATATTTTTCTTTGTACATTACAGAGAATATCTTCAAAAGTACAGGATGCTCTGGAAAACCGACCTGTTTACATAAGACTCCAAGGACTGGTAAGACTCATTTCCCTATGTTCATTTTAGCCTTGTAGTCCCAAATACATGCATTGTTTCTGATCACACTACCAAGTGATCAACGAGGTTCTACAGCCGATGCTTAATTATCACTTTTCCATCGTCAGAGCAGGTACTGTTTTTGTTGTTTCTTTATGAGGTTGATACTTATCAAGATAGTAGAAAGGAAACAAAAACTTGTTGATTGTGCTTTTTAACTGCATACTTGGTTCTTTCTGATGGAAACATGTTATGGAACTGTTCATTATCTGGGATCTGGCTAGTTTCTCTGTTGATAAGTCATGCCTGCATGAAAAGATCCTCTTTATTTGTGTAGTGGAGCAAGACTTTTGAGGTGACAGGAATAATTTATGGCTACAAGAAATCTTGGGATCATGAAAATGCTGATTATGATGCTGGCCTTTTCATTGTTATCATTCTCATTTTTCCTGTGGAATAAATTTTGAGGATGGACTTGATTGCAGATGTGCATGAGAGGTTCGCCTGCTAAGGCCCGAGTTGTGTATGCCCCAGTGAAGGAAATTGGTGGAGAGGGACGATTGTCGCGTGCCTGCCGTATCCAAAACATTTCCATTTTTAGTAGAATTTGATATGAGAAGCACTTAGTTTAGCACTAAATAAATGTGTCAACCTTGTCATGCCAAAATGTTGCTACTTGACCTTTTCCAACTCCTGCAGAAGTCATAATTGATGCCTATGTCGAAGCAGGTCTTGTTCTTGAAAAGGATGCTCAGCAAGCCTTGAAGGTAATTTTCTTTTTATACCTCAAAATCTCAAATTGAAGTTGCAAGCTAGTAGGATAAGTTATTGCTAGGTTTTGTCACTCATTTCTTTTACCCAGTATTCTCACCAGCTTCTCTTTGTTGGACACACTTTCATTCTCGAAGAATTTTCAGTTAGTTGAACTATATAATACCTAGTATTTTTGTTTTCCTTGTAACACTAAAGCACTAAAGTCATTTGTGTTTTCCTAAAATGCAGCTACATGCAACCTTGATGAATGCAAGGCACAGAAAAAGGTTCTTAGTGCTTCTATTTTTTTGGAGCCATTTTGCCATGTAAAAGTTGAAGTTTCTGATTATGCGGACAATTATTCCAGGAAAGGTAGGAGGACAAAGAGACATGATTCTTTTGATGCACGCCACATTTTCAGAGTTTATGGTTCGGAGGACTGGGGGGAGTACCACATTCCAGAAGTGCATTTGTCCCAGAGATTCAAATTTGATGAAAGTGGATATTATCATTGCTGCACGTCAATTCCCTTACCTGAAAGCATGCAAATCGATTGATCTCACCCTCTAGGTATCTTCATTCAGGTATATGTTATATACATCTGTACTTCCCTCTCCTTTTATGTTGCATAAACTTTTCTGTTCGGAAATAATTACACACTTGTTCCACATGCATGGGTTGACCTTGCTTATGTTGCAGGTATTAATGTTCGCATCTTAATGTGATCATCAAGGATGCCACCTGCTCCTTTCTCTAGCTGTGACTACATAGGTGTTTGATATCTGTAGGTCCGACACTTGCCCAGTAATCGTTCCGTTACCTTATATGTAGGCGAATAAAGTCCATCCGTCTGGTAACTGTGTACCAATGGTTGCATTGTCATAAATATACACCTTGTTTTATTTTATTTTGATCTCCTTATCTTTGCCACCATCTAATGGTAGTGTGCTGGTAGACTGCTTCATAAAATTTTGATTCTATATTATGCTTAGAGAGAATCATGCTAGTCGGAAGAATTTGTCCGACAGAATTGTCAAGGATAAAACATTTGAAACACTCCATCTGTCTCCATTAAAGTAATTATATTAGTGGTGGTGGTTCTGATGATTTGGTAATATCACAATCCTCCTGTGTGATTGAATAGGTTACTTGTATGCTCATCACATTTTGCCTTAACTTTCATGGTTCAATCACAATCATGTTTTTCTAGTAAGAACTATTGTTAGGATCTCATTGCAAGTTCCCTAAGAAACATGCTGGTCCAATCAAAATCTGTAGATCTTTGGAGCAGGTACATCAGATATATGGTGAGAAAAAGGTAAAACATGTATGGCCAATGGGAAGCTCGTGCCATTCACTGGCCAAAGCAGGTTTACTTCCATACCATCGAGACTTGCCCTTTACTATTTACATTGTATTTTATTCGAGATATTAGATCCATATTCGTGGATAGTGGCATGGTCGAACGTGACAAGCGTTCTTCCTTGTATTCGTGCAGTCATGCTTTGGAGCTTAGAACATTGGTATCTGTTTGAATGATGCCATAGGGATAATCCAGCGGATATCCTCCTTTTTCGTCAACATATTAGATTGCAGAAATGTAATAAACTATATATGCTGATGATGATAATTGTTAGGTTAAGTCAACTTTGCATGTGTCTCTTAATTTTGTTTGCAGACAACGTGAACTTACACCTGATAATGCAGCAACCATTAAACAAAATATAATTGTGACAGGCTTTTGGATATCGACTTGACCAAACTGATCACTGTGTTGACCGGATTAGGCCGACACGTAATCCGATCTGATCCACACAAGCCCGAGAATAATTTGCCCAGTTTTACGACCTTGAGAACAGCATGGTGATATCCTTATTTTTGGGTCATTTACCGGTCCATCTCTTGAATCCTTCTTCTGCTCGCCATCGTTGTCAGCCATCGCCTTATCCATTTCATTTCTGCACGCAGCTGCTGTCTTCTATCCAATGATAAGCTCTTCTTTGGGATGGGACCCACCGATGCAAAGCCATCTCCATGTCTCCGCGAATCCCCCCCCTTGGCGTGCTACATGACAATTCAATCAATGCATGCACGTTGGACATCGCTGGTGGGTTGGCGTTGGATAATCTCTACACCTCATCCCTCACCCACCCCGATGCTCGAAGCTCCAAGAGAACAAGCAAGAAATAGAAGAGAAAAGACTTCGTGGAGGCGCGTATAAATATGCTCGCAACTCCTTGGAACTACCAAACTTGCCCGCCTCCCTCGATCTCTTCCGACCTCCTGAGGCCTGACCATGGCTTGCATCGCCTTCGGCCGCTGCGATGACTCCTTCAGCGCCACCTCGCTCAAGGCCTACCTCGCCGAGTTCATCTCCACGCTCCTCTTCGTGTTCGCCGGCGTCGGCTCTGCCATAGCTTACGGTGAGTCTTTCTTTCATATATCCCCTGTGTGCGTACATATGTATATACATATATATAGTCTCATGGCGGTGAATGGTTGTGGTGCCATTGCAGGCAAGTTGACGTCGGGCGCGGCCCTCGACGCGGCGGGGCTCGTGGCGGTGGCCCTCTGTCACGGGCTCGCCCTCTTCGTCGCCGTCGCGATCGCCGCCAATATCTCCGGCGGCCACGTGAACCCGGCGGTCACCTTCGGATTGGCTCTCGGGGGGCAGATCACCATCCTCACCGGACTCCTCTACTGGGTCGCGCAGTTGCTCGGCGCAGTCGTCGGCGCGTTCCTCCTCAAGTTCGCTACCGGACTCGTAAGACCGACCGACTGCTGTACTGCATGTCTCTCCTGCGTGAGGTGATGGGCCTCGGTTGAGGCCAATATGAGCCCATTATGAACTAAATCCTTCGCTGTTGGGCCTCGCAGGACACGCCAACCCATAGTTTGGGAGTGGGAGCCGTGGAGGGAGTGGTGATGGAGATCATCATCACCTTCGCACTCGTGTACACGGTGTACGCCACCGCCGTCGACCCAAAGAGGGGCTCCCTCGGCACGGTCGCCCCCATCGCCATCGGCCTTATCGTCGGAGCCAACATCCTCGCCGCCGGCCCCTTCTCCGGCGGCTCCATGAACCCCGCGCGCTCCTTCGGGCCGGCAGTGGCGAGCGGCGACTTCGCCGACCTGTGGGTTTACTGGGTCGGTCCACTTATTGGTGGTGGGCTGGCTGGGCTTGTCTACACCTATGCCTACATGTGCACCGACCACACTCCGCTCCCCCAGTAAAATTGTTTCTTCACAGAACATTAGCATAAAGACCTGTCAGTGTGATGTCACAAAAGTGTGGGGAGCAGTCCATCTTTGTTGGTTTGTGATTTGGGGCAAAGGTGTGGGTGTTGGTGTTGCTTGCATTGTTGTCACTGTTGTGTGGGATTATGAAGCCTTTTTTGTATTTTATTGTTCATGTCAATAGATTCACTCTTCCTCTTTGGATCAAATAATATAAGCTCAAGCATGCAAATCATTTTCTCACAACTACAAATCATGAAAGATGGTATGAATATGTTCAACAAATGCCAAGGAGAGATAAGCGAAGACCCAACGAATATTTAATGAAAATAATAAAATGACAAGATCACTAAAGAAATATAGATTTGTTAGAGACTGTCCCAAGATTAGGATTAAGGTCTCTCTGCTATTGTAGCAATGGCCTTATGACCATTGCCGCTGGAACATGGGAACCTAAAACGTGCAATTATGCACTCATAGCTTATATCCACAAAGCTCAACATCGACACATAATGCCGAAAGAAAGACACTAATAGTAGAGCACAGCAACAACAGATCAAACAAGATATGGAATTTTTCTCCTCGTGTATTGACCCCGACAGATATTGCTCGATACAAGAAAATATACCTTTAACATGTCGTATACACCAAATGATGTTTGAGGAAAAGGATCACTGGGTGACATCAGTATACCAACAACAACAATCAAAAAAGTAAATTACTATCAAAATACAACTGATTTTTGTTATTCAAAAATAGGCTCCCAGTGACAAGGGAAGCAAAGTCTAAAGTAATTCTATAAGTGGCAACTGAAGAAGCAATCATGGACTAACAGGTCGAAACAAGGGGGCCATGAATGGTAATTTCTGTTGCCTTCATGGATTCGACTCCTTGCCCCACATTTTCATCTTCGGGATCCAACAAAGAAACATGAAAAGAAGCCTGCAAGGCAATGTAGCAGGGAAAGATCAGCATGGTAACAGGAGTGTGTATAGACACTAAGATTCATGCTTCCACATACTATACTACTTGCCAAATAACACTCATCCATCGTCACACAAGGCCGTAGAAACCTGAGTATAACACAACATAATTTTATATCAATCATCAAGATAATAATAAGATCCTGCAGATTTCTGTTCCCGATCTTTGGTAGAATCCAACTTGTTTATCCTGGGCCTGTAATTAGTTGGATCTCGTCTGAAAGTGATATCAAGATGCTGCAAAGAAGACAAACACAACATTCATTCTTCTTCAGCAAAAGAGGATTAATTAAGAGAGAGAAACAAAGAAATACAAAAAACATTGAAGATGCTGTGTTCAACAAGTGCCTTATTCGAAAACAATTATAGTAAGACCAAAATAATCTATTTTGTCCAACTCCGATATTTATGTTTGGAAAAAAAATAATCATATTCGGGACTCCAGTGTCAGAATTAGCATTGCAACTATTACCTAACGTATATCAAATGACAAAAGAATCTGATATACGTTCCTACATTCCCACTTGGATACATCCTCCTTCAGGGATCAGACTATCACTAACAGCAGCAACAAAGGAAGAGTTAGTTCATCATGTTTCACAATTTTAGTTCAGAGTGGCCCCTAACTAACATCCCACTCCCACGAAAGCTGTACTTTCATCTTATTCACTTTTAAAATCTCTCAATTCCCAGATTCAACAAGATTAGTGTTTTCCAACAAAATACCACAAGTCTAAGAGTTTCAAAAACCATTACCTTATAAAAAGATGTCTCAAGGAAAAAAAGTCAGGGAAAATTATTAGAAATATGACCAGTAAACTGCATCTGAACCTAGCCCATTAAGATATATAGAAAAATATACACTTATTCGTTCTCTTTTTTTAAGAAGATGAAAGTAACAGATAAAAGTATTGCCACTTACAGATAAGAACAGGTTCATGCCAGATAAGATGACATATAAAAAAAAATATACACTTATTCATTCTCTTTTCTTAAGAAGACGAAAGTAACAGATAACAGTTTTGCCACTTACAGATAAGAACAGGTTCATGCCGGATACCAAAGACTGAGGTGCATTAGCAATGCAATCCACAGAGGGCTTCCCCTCGTACACAATCACTTTATCAGCCAGGTAGGTCGCCATGATGAAATCATGTTCAACAACAAAGGCAGTTTTCTTCGCATGAAGGATAAATCTTTTTATCACCTTTGAGGCAACAATACGCTGCTCTGAATCTAGATAAGCACTTGGTTCATCTATCAGATAAATGTCTGCCGGCTGACCAAATAACATGAATCAGTATGACAAAACAGGATCAGAGATGGAAAATTCACCATCAAGAGCATTCCCAAAAGAGAAAAAAGCATTTGCATGTTAAGACACAAGACTTTTCACTAATCAGCAGATCACAACTAGGCAAAGATCGTTGGGAACTTAACAAAAAATCTACAGAAAATCTGGATGCAACCATTACCAATAATAGAAGCATCTATTTGCTTAGACATCAAGCAGCTGTCGCAGCACACAGTCCTAATCAACAAAAAGGACTATTCACATTATGGTCAGATGAAACGAAAAAAATCATCACTAAGTGAAATTCTTATGCAGGATCACTGAGATTCAACTTTTAATTATTCATAAGCTAATTGAGATCAATCAACAAAAAGGACTTTTCACATTATGGTCAGATGAAACGAAAAAAATCGTCACTAAGTGAAATTCTTATGCAGGATCACTGAGATTCAACTTTTAATTATTCATAAGCTTAGAACTCTTGCTACTCAATTGCAAGAACAAAACCACCTAGGTTACTTACATTTTACACAATATAATTTGTAGAGCAAATAAGCTATGGAAATACCAATAAGCTATGGAAATACCAACCTTCCCAAGACACAAACACAATGCTACCCGTTGCAGTTCTCCACCAGAAAGATTCACAACTTCTTGGTCCATTAATTGCTCAATTTGCAATGGTTTCATAACATCAGTCACAAATTGTGGATGCATATATGAATCTCGAATTTTTAGATGCAGCAAGTGTCTCACTGTATATTGAAACTTTGGACTAATTTTCTGAGGCTTATATGAAACATTAAATTCAGGCATCTCAACATCAGAATCTTCCACCGTATCAGGCTTCAGCAATCCTGCCTGAAATTTGTCAAAGGCATAAATCAGATAATCAAAATGAAATTCAGGTTGACAGCCATCTTAGGATAGATTTTTCAATAAAATAAATGTGTACATCCTAGTCAGTACCCCTCACTGGATTGGGAATGGATGTATTTAAACACAATAATTGATATCTAGTCTCAACGGAAATGGATGGTCAAGATAACTAGGCATGCAAGAAAGAAAACAGAAATAAAAGGTTGTTACCAGCATTCTAATAAATGTTGTCTTCCCGGTCCCATTCTCACCCAGCATTACAATGATTTGAGAATCAGTAAATTCACCCTCTATCACTTTAAGCTTGAAATTCCCTTGGGTTTTACTCATAGTCGGATATCTATAGCGTTGATAAGTCTGAATCTCCTCAGCACTTTCTTGAGGAGTCTCAGCAACCTGTAAAATCCAACAATATAAGATAACAATAGAAAAATATTTCAGCAGATGTCTACAAGAACATGAGGTCCTACCTTAAACATAAGTGACTCATCTCGAAACCGCAAATTTTCTGTAGGAACAAAACCAGCCAAAAAAATGTTTATTCCTTCACGTACAGAGAAAGGCAATGTAACAACTCCATAAGCTCCTGGCTTCCCATATAAGCAACAAATGAAATCGGACAAATAGTCCAGTACACTGAGGTCATGCTCCACAACAATCACATAGCTGAGCAAGGAGAAATGAGAGTGTACAAGATGTTAAACACCCCACAGAAATAAAAACAGCTTACTGAATCGGGAGATCGAAATACCTGTTAGGTCTGAGCAGGGAACGGACAACTTGTGCTGCTTTGAGCCGCTGTTTCACATCAAGATAACTTGACGGTTCATCGAACATATAAATCTCTGCATTTTGTATAGCAACCACAGCAATAGCAAATCTTTGCAACTCTCCACCAGATAAATCCCCCACATTTCGATCAATAACTTGATTTAATTCTAAGTCAGCACATAGTTGTGCCTTCTTCTCCCTCTCATCCTTTTGGTCAAGCACCTGTCCCACATTCCCTTGAACAGCTTTTGGAATGTGATCAACATACTGTGGCTTGATGATTGCCTGAATTATACTAGAAAGTTAGCAAAAATATGAAAAGGAAGGTGAGGAATCCTATGACATTAACCATAATGACAAAGTGATACAACACAAATATCACTACAGCTACCATTGCCGAAATAATGTCATACCAATAGGTACGACTTATGAGACAATTTTGTGTAAGCAAAACCAATATGCAGACTTGTTCCTTCCCTGTTTATTTTGAAACTTGCAAAATTAATTTAATATATCCGGATGAGGCTATGAACGATTACAACCAATCTGCACCTCAAATATTCAGATGCCCGTAAGCCCCATGATTTAAGAAAAATGAATAGAACAAGGATTACATACAGCATCTCATTTAACTTTGAACCCCCACTCATTGTGTATGACTGATACCAGTATTCATTTTGATTCACATCATGGATGCTTATATGCCAAGCACACCACCAAGTAGCCCCCTATATTTATCTTTTTTTCTATATACCAGTCTAAAAAAACACCACATCTAAATATATTTTCACAACTTTAATCATGATTTAAAAACAAATAATAAGAACAATATGTTCCTCCATATGTCATGATAATTGTCCATCAATTACAAATTAGTATTTATATATACTATTGGATCAAGGATATTTCTACATGGCTCAAGCACATATAAATAGCTACATACAAGGAAATAAACTGAAAACAGTACAAAGACATTAAAAGTTTTAATACAAGATAAAGGCTGCATCATGCAGATCAAACTACAACTGATAAATAAGTTCAACAGTTGCAAACAGCAAACATTTGATAGAAAATCATCAGAGATATAAGAAACATAACCCAATTTAGTTTCTTTGCAAACCAAAATGTAACAAGATTATCTTCCATATGATCATTATTCTAGCCATGGTCCAAGAGTAAAAGTTCTCAAAACAGATATAATGGTCAGATCATGTCTCAACAAGAAATGGAAAAGAAAAAAATGGAAGCAACCATCTGAAAGAGTTATGACTGGAATCATGATTGAAGTTCTGCTACCACAGCAAGCTACAATTAAAGAAACAAAAGCAGAATATTTGCATTAAAAAGAAAGTGTACAACATATATTAATTCAAAAACACACTTCTAACCACCTTTAGATTGTCCTCCAGTATACGAGTAAAATAATTCTGAAGCTCAGAGCCACGGAAATATGTCAAGATCTCCTGCCAATCAGGAGGATTCTGCAAAGAGAAAAAGTTTTTCAGAAACAACAGGCAGCATAGTTCAGAAACAACTAGAGAAAAGATTCTTCATCAGGTATTACATTGAATCGACCCAAGTTGGGCTTTAACTTCCCGGCCAACACTTTAAGCGCAGTGGACTTTCCAATACCATTTGTACCAACCAGGCCCAGAACTTGTCCGGGTCTTGGAACTGGCAATCTGTATAAACAACATAATTTTAAAAACACTACATTTGGAGGGGGGGGAAATCAAATAAGAATAGCATCTTTTCTGTTTTTTTCTTGCCAACCTGTGCAATTTAAATGTATTTGGTCCATAACGGTGAGTTGTATCTTTGTCCAAGTCCTTCGGTAGATTGATGATCTGAATGGCCTCAAATGGACATTTCTACAACCAAACAACAAATCCAGATAAAGATTAAGATGCTCAAACACCTAAAATAAATAATAAAAACCAAAGAAAAGATATACCTTGACACATATACCACATCCAATGCATAACTCCTCAGAAATGAAAGCAAGTTTTGAGGCAGGGGTTACTTCTATGCAAAGCTTTCCTGTCAGGAGCAAAAAAAAAAAACCAATGTGACTCCCATGAAAATAGATGTTGGCAAAACAGTATGAAGGCTAAGTTATGAAAACATTGGTAATTTACAATAAAAAATGAAATGGCAAGTGTGAGCAGCAACAATAGAACTTTTGAATTTGCATTGTTAGAAGACTAAATAGTTAGCCAGTGGGGACTTTGTGTGGAACTAGATACCAATACGACAAAATAGATGAAGGCATCTCATCTAATGATACTATTATTCAAATCAGTAACTTGTAGAAAATGTTCTTGCAATTTACATGGCTTACCGAATTCATGATCACTAGCTTTGTAATAAACAATTACAGAAGTCACTGGTCTACAAATGATAAATAAGAAACAAGTTTCACACTATTCAGCCCATTTATTGCATCCTAACACTGCACTGAGCAAGAAACCAGGAGGATAATCCTACAATTTCCTCCACTAATAACCTAAAGAAATCCATGAAGTTCTTGATCTGGCTTACACTGCTGCAACTTTACCCATTAAGGGAGGTTATCATAAGATCGACAAAGAAGACCAGACAAATAAATTACATATTGGTTAAGCCCCTTAAAAGCTAGAAGCTTCAGCAACTATAGCCAATGTTAAACTTGGTTCTTAAATGGAATCATGAAGGGCAATGGTCTAGAGATAAATTGGGAGCAAATGGTAAAACTTCCTTTCTATTATAACCTACCGGTTTCCGAAACAAGACTTACAAATGACACCACTGTGAAATAATTTTGGTTAGGCAACTGCATTCCGGCCAAAAAATTGGAAGGTGTGTAACATTTAACACGAAAAATAAAGGATTAAACAAATAAATAACCCTTCCTGAATCAGAATTTAGTTCAGAACCTATTAAAAATCGGTAGTTAACTATCAGATTTCCGAACTTGAGGAACAGATTGCTTTATCTAGAGGCGGAAAAACGGATCGGAGTACCTGTTTTCACGACGGGGCAGCTCTTCTTGCACTCTTGGCGGCACTTCTTCGGCTTGCATCGGTCGGAGCTAACGATAGCGATACGGGTCAGCCGATCCGCCATGTTGGAGAGGACGAGAGCCTAGCGTCGACCCTGAATTGACCCCTAATCCATGAGAAAAGAAACGAGTTAAGAAATTATGGAGAACCACCGAATCCACGAACCCTGGCGCTACCAAAACCAAATATCGATGGAGACGGAAGAGAGGGGAAGGAATGGGAGACGCACCACCTCTTGCCGCCAGGCCTCGCAAAAGGAGGAATGAATCCCTAATCGAGGCATATAAACGGCGGAACGTCACGGGGGCGGAGAAGAAACGGATCTTTTGTGCCGGATCCGGATCCGGACTCGGCTCTCAAAATCAAACCCGTTAAGAAAGCCCAGGAAATAAAAATAAAAATATCGTAGTATTTATATTTTTTTCTATTATTTTAAAATTTATTGTTGTAGTGAATATAATTCAAAATACAAAATAGAAGGTTCTATTGAGTTTGCAGAGAGATCTAAAGAATTCAAACAAAAAATATAAATATATAATGATGTCCCAAATTCTAAAGTAGTCCCACGTGCAATTGCAACACCCAATCTTGGCATGAAATTGCATCGTTATTAAATAACATTAGCAACAAATCCTCCTAAGCCATAAATCGTGTGAGATAAAGTCAACCTCATTTTACTTGATGACGTTTATCAAATAATCAATACGGCTTGGTTCGATCTCAAAAATATAAATTCATCTGAGGATCTTATGGAGAGTCACGTGAGAGCGATCTAAGTGAGGGTAGACCTGATTGGTATGATCATGATGTTTTGCTTGTTTATCGAGGTGTATCTCGTATCGTTCCAAGGTGCACCTTAGTTTTGCTGAAGTGCCTACACAAGTGATCAGTAGTAAGGGGATGTTCTTGAGCCGACCCCCTCCAATGATTAAGTTAATAGAGAAATGAGAAATAGTTTAACTGTCTCATTTGAGCGTTTAAGATTAACTTTTATACTTGAGCCATCGATAACGTGAGGTCCGTGGCGAGTAGGAATGCCTCTTACATCATCCCGGGGTTTATTAATGTCTATGGTTGGTGGGCGCACCTCTCGATGGGTAGTATCATGGAAGGATGACAATGGATGTCTTGTTTGTTAGGGTCAGAGCTTGTTTAGGACAAACAAGAATGGCCCTGCGCTAGGCGTCTGAAAAGATAGGGAAGAAAAATTGGGCCATGCCATTTGGAATTAACGCCTTCTATTGCTAGGTGTGTGGGCCTTTTCGAAACTGTGGTTTGGTGGGGTTATGTTGCTCACGATAGATAGCCTAAGGAAGGGAAAAAATAGGGGATGGGCCATGCCACCATAGATTAATACGTTCTATGACGAGTTCCTGCAACCCTTGTGGAGATCGAGTTGGGTAGAGGCCGATGGATTGTACTCCTATTGATGACAGCAAGGGAAGGGTGCATGCTCTTTTGATCATTGTCATGGACTTAGTTGATTTTACCTAAGTCGTGCAGCACCCTTACGTGTCTGTTCGTAAAGGTCAACATCCCCAAACATCTTATAGTCCCTTAGGACATACAAAAGAAAAATTGTGTTAGAGAAAACGTCTCACTCGGGATCCATAAGCAATAATTTCAATAAACACTTTATGGCCAATGTAAATTACAAATAGAATTTACAAGCTCTAAATAGTATGTAGTGGACCATTTTGGATCCTTTGTTATGCGACCGTTCAGAGTTTATTAAGTCTGTTCGTAATTTGTATTTGCTATGAAGTTTACTGAAATTATTGTTTGTGGATCCCGAGTGAGATGATTTCTCTAACCCATTTTCTTTTTTGTATGTTATAAGGGACCATAAAAGGTTTTGGGGAGACTAACCTTTGTGGACAAACACGCAATGGTGCCTCATAATTTATACAAAACCAACTAAGTCCGTGATACCATGTCATTACCTAAGTGACAATCAATTGATAGTGTTATGTTAACATTGTTACTTTCTCAATCATTTACCATATCTCATAATGTCTCGGTACTTTAATTGATTTATTCTTCTAATATTCTTAAATATGATTAACTAATTTCTTTAGTTTGTGTTCATGTTCGTTCGGAACGTAGAAGGAATGAGTAAAAGTAGTGAAATATTAGGTTAATTGTTAAGAGTAACTAAAGGTTGAATGTTAAGAGAGATGATTTATTGTCTAGAAAAATTATATTGTATTCCTTAAGTTAAATTATTAATCGAGTTATATATAATTGTGACTCTAACACAATCAATATTGATTCAAAACTCATATGAAAAAAATTAAAAATCTAAGTTATATGTGTCTAAAACAAGGATCATTGTTTAAAAGTATCGAACTTGTTTTGATAATCTAATTGAACTAATACATATTTGTCAGGAGTAAAAAATGAAGAGGAAGAAAGGAGATACAATTGGCGAATGTCGAGAACGATGATATCAAACGATAATGACGTCATGAGAAGATGACACTAAGAATAAGACTCGCAAAGTGACGACGACAACATGGTGAGAAGAGGGCTCTCGTTTGTAAATCTTAATTATTATTTTATTATTTTTAATGTCAAGTTGGATGGGCCTATTCTTGTTTTAGAGTTCTTTTTTATTTTTTCTATGTTAGATTGGATCATCCAAAATGAGGATGATTGTATGTACCGTATGTTTCATATTGTTTTGAACGGTTTGAGACTCTTTGATATAAAACAAATTCTACTACAATGTTTAAATTTAGATAATATTTTTATATTATAAAATAATATAATTAGAACTAAGTTAAATTCAGATTAGACACAGATGAAATAAATTCAAAATTAACAGAAATCGATTTACTTTATCAATATATTTCTTGGAAGATACATCTACTAATGATCAAGCAATGACTTATTGGGATGAAAAATCCAAAAAAAGAAAAAGATTATTTTCTTTTTATTTTGTTTTATCTTTATTTATTTATTTATTTGATTTATAGTAAAATATACCCATACTCTTTTTTATTGTTTATTCCTTTGATAGATATCAGGACCTATACCCCTCTCTCTCTCTCTCTCTCTCTCTCTATCTATATATATATATATAGATGAATTAGATAAGATAATAACAAAGGAACGGTTGGATTAGCACATATGAACACATGATTAATTGTACTTTGACGGCTCTTACCTCTCATGTGTATGAAAAGCCAATCGATTAGATCATAATTTGGGTCTAAAATAGGCATTATTCGGCTAATTTGATGTCAATGACGTGATTTGCCAAAAGTAACCCTGTAATTTCCAGAAAACTCATCCAGTTTGTAGCCTTTGGCTTTTTCAGGGACAAGAAGAAGAGAGTGACAGTGACGTGCAAACAGTTCCCCGTCGCCGTTGACGGCGAAGTCTCCGGCCTCGACCTTATCGGGGCTAAATACGTAATTTGGACGTAATACCGGGTCACATGTCAATGGAACGAGCATTCCACCCCTTATCTTCGTGGGAAAACAACTCCCGGCACCGGGACCCTGTGATCGGATGCATGACGAATTGCAGAATTCAGCTTTTCATCGTATATTTGTTCGAAACGTGCAATTTTATCGTGGACAAGACGGTCTAACCAAATGTTTGGCGTTTCCGTTATGGACAGCTGATCCTGACATATGACGAACCAAATCAACGGCAAACGTGTTGCCTGCTTTTCATAATACGCATTGACTACTTAGAGTTACACCCGGTTAGTGTACCTTGAGGCTGTGGGACCCGCATGGAACCATGTCGATTCGCAAGCGTCGCACGTATAAAAGGGAAGGGTCGAAGAGGTGGTTTTGAGGAACATCCAACCAAAAATTAATAGTCTTCTCCCACTCTCGCTGTTGCTTCTCCCATTCGCTCGCTCGTCCTCTCGAAACCCTCACCGGCTCTCGGTGCCGACGGAAGCGCCCGATCGGCCCCTCCCCCTCGCGGTGGCGTGTCCCGGTGGTGCTCCTCGGGTCTTCGCCGCACGTGTCGCGTTTTACCTCTTCCGCCGTCTCGCGATCGACTCTTTGATCCCATGGAGGTATCTTCGCCTACGGGATCGAGCTCGTCAGGCATTAAGCGTCAACGCTTCCAGGTATTGTTGATCTATTTTCTTGAGAGTTTGCGGCTTTCTTCTTCTGTCGTACTGATGACATCGCGTACGAGACGTCGACTTCCCAAGATGCGATATTATGACGAGTTCAATCGCGAACAAGCGAGAATCTTAGGATTCTTTAGTGCCTCTTTCAAGATATGCGATGGAGTGAGTTTTCGGATGTCTACGTAACCAATTTAATTAGATTGGTGGACGTTTGATTTGGGTCACCTGTGTCTTCTTGGTCTTACCAATTCAAGGGCCAACATAGGATTTTATGCTTGTACGGGTAAAATATCAGGACGGTTTGCATAGGTGGATTAGAGGTAGTGGTGGTTCGATTACTTAATCTATTCAGTAATTAGAGGGGGTCTCAAACTCCTCCATGTCTAATTATAGAGTTTAAATCTCAGTCTTTGTGACAATTGTTACTAGGAGACTCCCAAAGATATGTAACCACCTAAAAAGTATCTTTTTGTTTGAGGATAATGAAAGGATAACAGATATTGGTGGAGTGAATGTGAAGGTTTTGATTTTGGGAAAATTCTTGTGTCTCACATATTTCTTCTAAATAGGAGTATGATCTTCCTCAATGTATGCGATTTAGCTTAAGTAAACAATGTATGACCATAAGGTGACTTTAAGTTTTATTGTTTAATTGAAAAAAATTTCTCTGTGTTGGTATATCATTGATCAACTACAAATCCTTGTCCAATGCTTTTAATCAATGGCTGGTCATTGGTTGCTATCACTCTCGCTCATTGATCATGTCATATCAGGGAATGGTTACTGGTTATGGGTAGATGGTTACAAGTGGTCGGCCCATGATTACTGATTGCTGGCATTGATGTTGGTCTCCAATCAATCATCAACTACATTTTTGATTGTCGGTCGATCATTTCTGGATGGTCATCAGTCATTGACTAGTTATTGCCTTTGGTGATTGGCAGGTAACTGATACTTGCACCTTGCTGGTCAAAGCATGACACATAGTTGATCTTGGCAGCTTTTTATGATCTGAAATCATTAATAGAAGTGATGGTCAATCTAATTCCTATGAGCCAAGCAACTTGAAGTTGGATCTTCCAAGGATATCCAATTCCTGCTTCACATTTGGTCTACCAAACATGTTTTTGATGGAGTCATTGAATGCCACTAGTAGTTCACAATCAATATCATAATTTTTATCTTGAC